ACATTTTTTATATGAAGTGGTTTTGGTGATATTCTAAATTATCCAATGAATATGGATGTTGTAAGAGATTTAAGGAGAAGAAAGAAGTGGAGCCTGATGCTGATCTTGAAAGGGACCAGAGAATTATTTTTGCTTACCAGTTAGATGCATTGCACTTTTTGCTTTCATCTTTTAAGGTTTATTTAGCATAAATGTTAAACCTATGTGTCTTCAAACATGCATTTTTTTCTTTTGCACTAATGTTTGATTACTGTTCACCTTGAATTGGTTGATGAGAGATGCCTATAAAGGCAACTGAGAGAGATGCCTATGAATTCTTCTCAAAAGCAGGCAAGGTTAGTTAGGTTTAACTTGGTTATTTTATTTCTTGTTTAAAGGTTGTACCATAATTTGTCCACCATATCTTTCAAGTATGCCAAGATTCCACATTAATTGGTTTGGGAAAATTTTAGTGGCATGAATTTGAAAATTTGAGGGTACATTTGAAATACTAGGTTTATTTTCATTATAACACTCATTTTTTAGATTTCTAGTATGTAATATGTAGCAATCTCATTTTGCATTGTCTGCTATATTTCTTCAAATTCATTTACATCTCTATATGTTTATGATAATAGCTACAAGTTGATGCATAAAACAATGTTTAGAATGATATGAATGGATAATATTGAGATACATCTGCTTCCTCTTCCAATATATATTACTCTGCCTTCAGTTCCGAGTAGTATTATGATTTCTAGTGTTTCAACATACTATATATGTGGGGTGAGTTAAAAACACGTGTTAAAGAATACAATCTTATAGACACCCTTTGATTGGTGTTTCATCATGAAGCTTGAAAGTCTAGAATCCCCCTGGATATTTTAAGTTTTTGAGGTTATTATTTTCTTTTTGATCTCATACTTTTGTTTTCCGTTATCATTTTCAGGTAGGAGATATGCAATTGATCATAGATAGAAATCCAAAAAGATTAAAGGGAGTTGGGTCTGTGCCTTTATGTTGAGCAAAGTTATACTTTCGTAGTCTTATGAAAAAAGTATTAGCAGCTTTGCTTTCAAGAATCAAGTTTAGCTGTATTCTTAAATGCATTAGCAATGTGATAATGATAAAGAATGATGGGAATAACACTTATGTTTAATCAATTCATGCTGCGTACACAGGGTAGATGATATAAACCTGAATTTTTTTCTTCTCGCCTTTCTTCTGCTTTGATTTTTCCTTGCATTAAAGGCAATTGATAAAATGATAAACAATATATCAAAATCAACTAAACCAAGAAAACCGACTGAGACCAAATGGGTTAAGTCGGTTTTCTTGGTTGTACGGAAAACTTCGGTCGGTTCGGTTTTATCCTAAGATTAAATTGGTTTTGTGGTTTTTACAATTGAATTAACCGAACTAACCGTTTGCTTAATGCTGAAGCGACGTTTGGGATGAATGACCATCTAGTGGCAGAATTCAAGGCTGAAAAGGTCTATGAAGTTATTAAACAAATGCATCTAACCAAAGCGTCGAATCTGACAATATGCCTGCACTATATTACCAGAAGTTCTGGAATATTGTAAGTAATGATGTAACTAGCTTTTGTCTACCATTTTTGAATGGGACAGCTGATTTGGAGTAGATGAACTGTACCAACATTGTTCTTATTCCTAAAGTTAGAAACCCTAAAAAAATCACCAACTTTCGACCCATTAGTCTTTGCAATGTTATCTAGAAGATTATTGTGAAAGTCCAAGAGAACTGATTTAAATATGTTCTTCCACATTGTGTTGTAAGAATCAGAGTGCATTTGTACTCGGAAGTTTAATCACTGATAATGTGCTGATTGCATATGAAATGATTCACAAGCTCAAGATGAGACGCAAGGGTAGGGAAGGTTTTGTGGCTCTTACATTAAACATGAGTAAGGCATATGATAAGGTCGAATGGCCTTTCTGGAGGCCATGATGCATAGGCTTGGATTTCAATAACCAGTGGGTGACGCTTATCATGAGATGCATTACTTTTGTATCTTACTCCATTATCTTAAATGTGGATATTACAGACAAGTTCATCCCAAAAAAAGGTTACGTCAGGGAGAACCCCTCTCGCCTTACTTATTTCTATTATGTACCAAAGGTTTCCCAACTTTGTTTACAATATACTAACGAGAAGATCAGCTAAGTGGCGTGAGAGCTAGTAGAAACGGGCATAGAATCACTCGCCTTTGTTCGTAGACAATAGTTTGCTATTCTCTAAGGCAAACCAGTATGAATATGGAAGGATGAGGAGTGTGCCATAGAGGTATAAAGAAGGTTCAGGCCAACGGGTAAACTTGGAGAAATCTTTAATTTACCTCAGTAGGAATGTTAATGAGGATGGTCAAGACGAGGTGCGACAAATTCTAGGGGCGCATGAGATTTCAGACCTCGAGAAGTACCTAGGGTTGCCAACTATAGTGGGTAGAAATAAAATGAGAGCATTCAGAGACAAAGGACAGAATTCGGGCAAAAATCGAATCGTGGAGTAGGCGAACATTATCTATTAGTGGTAAACAGATATTCATTAAGTCAGTCCTACAAGCAATACCATTTTATAGCATGAGCTGTTTTCTACTTCCAAAGGGCCTTTGTCAGGAAATCAACAGCTTAATTAGCAACTATTGATGGAGTGAAAAAAAAATGGGAAAGGCATTCACTGGCTGAGATCGGAGAGGATGCATACGAGCAAAGAAAAAGGAAGCATGGGGTTCAGGAACTTTGAATATTTTAATCGGGCACTATTGGCCAAGCAAGGGTAATGGCTGGTTAGAAATAAATACTCCTTAGTATACAAAGTCCTCTGTGACAAGCACTTTCCAAATGGTAACTTCATGGAAGCCAATCTGAGTCGAAATTTGTCTCTCACTTGGAGGAGCATATGGTTGGCTAGGGAGGATTTACAGCTGGATTACGGTGGAGGGTGGGCGACGGAAATCAAATTAGAATCTGGAAGGATAAGTGGCTACCTAACAACAGGCTTACAATACCAGAAAGTCAAGCACAAAGTCTCATAGGAGACGAAGCATAGGTGGCTGAGTTTATTGATACTCAATCAAAAGGGTGGAAGAGGGAGCTAATCAACCGGTTATTCACTGTTGAAGAAGCTGATTTGATCTGCTCTATTCCATTGAGTGCAAACAGCCATCCAGATGTTTCAACTTAGTCTAGCAAAAGATCGTAGATTCTCTTTGTGGAGTGCTTATCATATGATGGTGTCTGCTCACTGCATAAATAATAGGGCTCAGATGCAAGGAGAGGAACCACAAACCGATCAGGAAAGGAAGACTTTAAAGAAGTTATGGCGAGCAATGACTCCTAATAAGATCAAGATGTTTGCCTGGAAGCTTGACAATGGATTCCTACCAACCTATAGTACTTTGTGGAAGAGAGGAATTGACGTCCAAGTTATTTGTCCAAGATGCGGCCAACAGGAAGAAACAATAGTCCATGCCGTGTGGGAGTGTGAGTGTAAAAGCTCATAAAGTCTAGCTAAAACAAAGTGGAGAAATGTAAGTCATATTGCAGACAAAGGATGGCTCGACGAGATTGCTAAGTAGGTGCATACAGACAGTTTGGAACTTGGACTGGTACTCAGTTGGGCATGTGGTACAGCAGGAACCTGGCCGTTAAATCAAAGGAAAGTTGATCACCAAAAATGGTAGTGCATTTCACCAAATGTTACCTGCACGACTTTCAGCAGGCAAACGAGAACCGGTTGGAAACAGGTGTTGTGACTGAAGTGGGATGGAAGCCACCACCTCTGGGCTACGTCAAGGTCAACTTCGATGGGGCCTTTAACCTTGCAGGAAATGTGGGTGGTATCGGGTAATAGTAAGGGATGACAGTGGAAACTTTCTGGTGGCTGCTACGACTAGGGTGAATCATGTGAAGGAAGCGAGTATTGTAGAAACTCTAGCTTCTGCAAGAGCGATGGAGGTGGTAATTTACATGAGGCTGGAAAACGTCCTCCTTGAAGGTGATGCATTGTAGGCAAATAAATGAGATCAGATTAGAAACTAAAGACCTCTCTGATGTGGGCAATATTCTGGCAGACATCAGGAACAAAGGGAAGTCCGTTTGCTCTTTTCGGGTGGGACATGTCAAAAGGGTTGCTAATGTTGTTGCCCATAGGTTAGCTAAATATGCACCGCAAGCAAGTTCAGATGAGATGTGGTTAGGGGAATACCTCTCAAACATCCAAAGCCTTGTTAGCTCTTATTACCAACTTCATTAGTAATATAACTCCTTTACTTCAGAAAAAAAGAAAAGTCAAACCCAATCATTGAACATTTCTATTTTTCATTTTATGCACATAAACATACTATTTCACATTAAAAGAGTGGAAAAGAGAAGATGAAAGAAGTGTGAGTCAGGCGCCACAAATTTATAAGATTATTCATTTTTTTATATTTTTTATTAATTTCATTTACAAAGAATATAACGATAAAATAATATAATATTTATTTCTTCATTTCAATTTTCAACTCTACAAGCAATGGATGAAAATAAAGTTATTTTTTCATTTAATTTTTTAATTTTCTTTTAAAAACGCCAGTAAAAGGAAAAAAAAATTTATCTTTACAGTCATAAAATTTTTTATAGCCTGAAGGACAATTTGACCATGACCAGGTGTACTTACGAGGTTTGCTTTGATACTTGGCATTTTATGTTAAGATTTATTTTTATTCGGAGAGTACCCCAAGGATGAAGCTCTAGCAGAGACCAGTGTGGGAAGGTTGTCAAATTAACTTTAAGAGAAACAATCATCAAATGGATATTAAGTCTTGGATTAATAATTCTATAAAGTTTGAATTATATTTATAATAAAATTATTTACAAAAATAATTCCAACCAATTTTTAAAAATATTATCTATCATATCTAACTTAATTTTGCAATTATAAACATTTAATTCTTGCATACATCAAATTTAAAATAAAATGAAATTATCTTACCCACTTTGATTCATTATCTTATGTTATCTCATCTTATCCATTCCCATAATTTTGTAAACATTAAATAATAAATTTAATTAAAGTAGTTAAATTTTCTTCTGAATTTTCACCAAAAATTATTAGCCAAATGATATGCTACAATCAAACTATAAGTTAATATTAAGATTGAAAGAGAGTCGTAGCTTTTATGCATTTACACCACTTTGAATTTGTATCAATCCCCAAGCCTTGAGTTGTTAATCCTATACAAAGAAAGATGTACATAAATACAGTCTAAAGATACATTTATACCAGGCCACTGGCAACAGAACTAGGTTGTTTACTTTTCCCTATGAACAGGAGGAGTTGTTGCCTTTCCACTTGCCGAGAGACCTCCTATACCCACCAATTAAATTTTAACAACATGCTTCTCCAACTATTGCTCCATTGATTGCTGCTAATGCTCCTCACAGGCATCACTTTCTGCATGATCCAATCAGCATTAAGCATTCCTTTACTGCTTGGTTATTTTTAGTAAAATCAGGCAAAAAAGAGCAAGACAAAGTTTGGGTTTAATGCAGATATTGAAAATGCCTTTTTTTTTTTTTTTAATTTCCATTAGAATCAGAAATAACACAAGCAAAGATCTGAAGAAGGATTAAAAGCATTCAAAGACTGAAAAAAACACCTTTTTTTTTCTTACGTGATAGGCAAACACCATCCTTGCAGCAAATCCTCCAACGGAACTTACAACTCACAAAAAGGGTATTCTCCAATAATCTTATTTTCTTCCGCACTAAAAGATGTTCTTTTTCATTTTTGGTACTGAAGTTCCGGAAAACCAATGTGCATGAAAATGAACACGCATGGAAATGAATAGAAATACTATATGAGCAAGAGTTGCAAGAAAACTTGGCTTCATGGTCTGCATATTATTCTTCTGATTTGCTGGACAGTAAGATTGCATTTGAAGTTGAGATTATTAATGAAAAAAGTGTGAAGTTGATCTAGAGGAGATTCAAGAGGCTCAGGAAAAACCAATTTAAGAACCAGTTCTTGACATCATTGATGATAAAAGGGGAATGTCATTCTAAAATCAATTGCTGACATCCTTGTCAATTGTCAAGGAGCAACAAGTGCAACATCATCAACCACTTGAAGAACTAGTACAACCTAATTTAAAAATTGAAAAGCCGAGAACATTGAGCTTGGCCTCGAATATGTGAGAGCTTCAGGAAAATGAGAACTTCAATGAGGTAATACCTAGCAAAGATCGTTCTGTTGACTATATTCTACTGATTATTGAGGTGTAAGCCCATTGCTATTGATGATAGTCCATGAACTTCATTTCAAGACTACAAAAATTGAAGTGCTGCTTTAGTCAAGATATTTGTACCACTAGTAAGTTCATATTTGACATTACTCATGGATCTTGCTGGAAATTAGTTTTGGTTCGGTTTTTAAGAAGTTAAGGTCAGAGTTTTCTCCCTCCAGGGGACAATGAAGGTGGATGGACTATACTACTTGAGGGACTACTTAAACTAGGACTTTATTTTATATTTTTTGGTTTCGATTGCAACTGTTACACATATTTAGATTCTCTTAGATTTTTTAAGTTATTTTATATTAAATAGTATTTTACTTCTTTCCAAGTTTTCGTTAGGGGTATATTTAGTATTTTGCATTTTATTAGGTTTAAGAGTTTACTTATAAATACCTATGTTATTTTATTTTGGAATAGATTTTGATTATTGATATTTTAGACAGATTTTGAATTGAAAAAAACTATAAATTAGAGTTCATGCAATTGGGACTTTTAGATTATTATTGAGTGTTTTACATCAAAATATTCGACAAATGTCAGAGCCAAGTTAGAATACAGGAATCTGTCTGTTTATATATAATTTTTCTAAACTTTTGAAGTTCACCGGAAAGATCGAAATTAAAAGAGATTTTTATTTATTAATTTTGTCAACGAAGGGAATTGGATTTGCAACAGCTAGTCCTCAGAGTAAGGTTAGTTAATAGAGCTAGCAAATATTTCATCAGGTAACCAAATACACAAAGAGCACAAGCTACTTATCTTATTTTTGGTTCCCAAATTATAAGGTACTTTGGCAGGCAAGACATCAACAAGTAGAGGAACTTATCTGTTTGTTAAAAATTTTGTATGTATATGATGAATAGAAAGTTTACGCACCTTCATCAAGCAGTTGTTCAAACCGAGCAGCTATGTGTTTCCCATAAGTATATTTCTTCAAAGCATTAAGATGAACTCTTACACGATCCAGCAATAGTTCCCGCTGTCTCTCATTGCTTATTTCAAGAACCTTCTGGACCACATAATTTGCAAATTGGTCCTTCATCATAGTCTGATATAGAAAAGTCAGAACACAATATTGTGAGCAAAAGAAGGGTTCAATTTGCATTTTAATGAATTTATAAAACATCAGGAAACTAGAAAAGATCCCCAAACCTTCATGTTTGTCAAGGCATCATAATTTCTATAGTAGGTGCATAAAATTTCATATTAGGGACAAACTGAAGAAAAGAAAGTAAGCAATACGTCTAATTCCAAGTGTAGCAGCACATTATCACTTAAGTCAAAGAAAACTATGATAGTAGAATACCTAGGGCAAATGTATCCAAATATCTCACTAACACAACTAACATAAACCATCTTTTTCCCTCTGTCATTCAATTGCAAGTTCTATTCCTTTTTCTCAGTTGAAAGATGGGAAAGCCTTTTTAGTGTAGGAGAGCTCCTGAATTTCATTATCGCCTATCACCTTTTTCCCACTTCATCTGCAGAGCGGATTTGCAATTACTTATGGCAGCTTATGGACAAGAATATCATACGAAAAATGATCAGACCGTTTGTATTGTAAACCCTCGCAACCAATGTAGGGCGTTGGATCTAGTCACAAAAGCAAGGCTGCTCCACGTATACGCACAGCACGGACATATTGATGATAAAACCTAAGTAAGGGGACCCTGGCTTTTGAACTCCTTTCCTTCTATACCCGGGGGAATGTCACTGAGTAAAGGATGTTACGAACACCCATTAGGAGCTCTTCTCCCTTTTACTGGGGGACTGTCACTTAGTTTAATACAAGGACAAACTACCCAGATATCTCACTCACAAAACTAACATAAACCATCCAGTTCCCTCCATGATGATTCAGAATCTAGTGATGCATTATATTAACTCCAAATATAATTGTACACATTTTGGAAAGAAAGGAGAGCCGTATACTAGGTTTACTGAGCATGATGCATTCCATTTAGCTTCAACAAGAAACCCACTAGTTTTATAGCAACACAATGAGAAACAAATAGGGAAGGAAGACAAGATACAAATTTGAGTTTAGCAAATTTGTAGAAAGCCCAAATATACAGCCAGTACCAACAGTTTACGCAGCAAACAAAACTTCCACACACATGCAAAAACTAAATGCACCTAAAAGAAACTGCTAGCCTGCTATTATTTTCATCCCCACATAATTTGGTTCAATCCAAACCCAGCCTATTTATTAAATGTTTCATAAGAAATTGGTTAGATCTTCAAAATTATATGAAGGTGGAAGCAATAAGGTTCAAGCTGAGCAAAAAAAATAAATAAATGATTTATAGTGAATGAAGTAACAAACTTGGAAAAACTAATACAGAAATTGAAAAAATGGGTAAAGTTGAGTTATTTTGATGTGGGGTCAATGAGAAGATTTCATATGAATAGCCTACCAATGTGTAATCTACTTGCATTTATTTGTGCATGAATCCATAAGTACACATGCATTATAGTAGGAGCATGATAAAACTTGGCTTAAGAAAATAGGAATCTTCAACGCCAAGCTTAAAGGCCAAAAGAATAAAAAGAAAGTCCAATGAGAAAATATTTTTAGACCTTGCAAAGCACTGAAACTAATAGTTATAATGAGTTATATGATAAGTACATTTTATTCAACTCACCAATAAAGTGTCATTTTCATCAGATTGTCCGATTATCTCCTCAACCAAAAGCTCTCGTTCAGCACTATCACCATGCACCAAGCACTTCTCAACAACATTTGATGCATATTTATGTTGACTCATTTGTACAATTTTCCCAGTCAACTTGCTAATAATGTGGCTTCTTTCATGTGGCTTTCCCCTCTCCAAAACATGCTGCAAGTAGTAAAATCAAATAGAATGTTAATTACAATAGAGAGACCAGAAATGAAGGTGACTGAAAAAGATCAAAAGAAAAATCTTAGGAACCAACTTCTTAGACTGACTGAAACCACACAACTTAAATGCACAGAAAGGAAAGCTCATATAACATCAATCAATGTTTTCGATGTCATCGCTTGGAAGTTGTCCTAGTTCAAGGAGGTGCTCCATGAACTTAAAGGTATTATTGGTTACCAGGCAATTGCCATCATACCCTATTCCCACAGATATAAACATAAAAATGTCATCCAAACAGCCATAGAGGCAATAGCCAGCTAATAGGCCTTGATTTGAGGTTCTCCCATCTAGTTTCCCTCTAATCAGTATTATCAGTAAGGATAGATTTACGCTACCACCAACTTAATCAGTATTACAATTACCAATACAGCAACCGTCAAAAACCAGGTTTACCTTGCTCCTAAAACACTAGCTATTCTTTGCCAAGCAACTTTTACATTGGTGACAGTTCTTGTATCCCCTAAACCCCCCCCCCCCCCCCCCCAAAACCAAAAAACACACCCTTACATGTTAAAAAAAAAAAAAGAATGGAAACTTACAAAAGAAGCTAAACTAGAAAAGGAATAACAGACCATTAGCAGGTATGCCATGCACATAAGTTGTGATGAGCCCTCTGAAGACAATGCTTGATTTTGAGAAGCAAATACAGTGTTTAAAGAAATTATCTAATTAGCCATCAATACAACTGACAATCATAAGTTAAAAATGAACCTGTGTAACATAGTTTCCATACTGATCTTGAGAAAGGCCAAACGCAGCATCCAAAATTTCATCCACTATGCATTGACTTTGCAGTTTATCTGAACAATTCTCCAAAACTCTCTGTCATGATCCAAAAGAATAAGCAGATGATAAGAACATGGCATATAAAATAAGACTTCTTCTAACATTCAGCCAAAGACTCTAGAAAGCAACAAAATGTAATATAACCTGAATCACACGGCAACCATAGGGATGAGTAGAAAGTGTTGCGACTTGGCCACGAAAAGCAGAAATAATAAATCCAATTCTATCAGTAGGGACACGCTCTATACACTTTTGTATCACATGATTCCCATTTTGATCATGCACACATTTCATAATGTGACCATCAAGCTCCTGAACAAGTTGTGTTTTTTGATCAAGTTCAATCACTTCCAACGCCTGGGAAAACCGTTCAAATAAAAGATCAGAGTAAGAAAACTGCAATAAATTGATGAACAAGCATGTCATCTCATCTATAACAGAAACCCATTTAAAATACTTACAAAAGTTTCATAAAAGAGATACAAACTAAAAAGATGACAGCTACTATTATTATAGATTTCAAGAGAAGATCAACCATTATGACCCCAAGGAATTAAAGAAAAGTAATAATAACCACAATCTACAAATACATGGACATACCTAGATACATGCATATCTACGAGAACTACCAATTACTAATCCAACACATTAAAGAAAATATCGGGCTACCAAGCATCAGAATTAGATCTTTCAATTTTGGTCCGCACTTGACCCAACTTGATTGATCATAAAAGTAAAAAGCTTAAACCAGAAACTGAAAACAAGTCGAAACCAAAATGACCCGAAAAATTAACTTGAAATAACCTAAGAGTAAATTAAATAGAATTTTATTTTAAAATATTAATTTAATAAAAATAATAAATATAACACAAATAAAAATAATAACTATAACACAAATGATAACATTAAAATTATTGAAAGAACAAAATTAATATATGTTTTTAATATCAAATTAGTATAAATTATATATATGTTCTGTTACTTCTAAAATTTTTTATAATTTATAATATGATTTAAAATAAATTATATATTTTTTATTATTATGAGTATACATATCAATGTATCATAATAAATTATATATCTTATAATTATACATGGGTATCAATTATCATGTATTTTAAAATAAAGTATATAAAACAAGCCACTGATCTGTATATATAAATTATGTTTATGTTATAATTATATTATTAATTTTTAATCATGTAATTTAGAATAAATTATATAATGAGCTACAATCATAATAAAATCCAAAGTAAAAAGCTATTAAATAATGAGTTACAATTATACTAAAATGATTATTTATATTATACTTATATTACTAATATAAAAAATAATTACATACTAAATGTGTATAATAAATAAATATTTAAAATAAGTTTTATATGATTATATTAAATATGTAATTGTGCATTATTATTAAAAGTTTAAAATAATTTTTATATATTTATATTAGATTAAAATAAATAAAAAACTATTAAACATGTCAATCGTGACAAACATGTTTCTTGTGTGTAATACATGTACTTATATGGCATGCTTTAACTAAACGTACTTTTTATCTTACGTGTCAAAATTTGTGCTGACATTATTGTTAAACATGGAACAGATTTTTCCAAAACCTATACAATTTTTTCCATATCGTTTTGATGTCATATCATTGTGTCGTATTTAAATTTATCAAATCTAATCAAATCACATTTTTCATTATATAAAATTAACTTTAATTTAAAGTATACAAATTACAATATTTATATTTATTTTTAAAATATTTTTTTATTTTATCTTTTAATAAAATTATAATAAAATATGACTTGAATTGATCAAATAATCTATTTGAATTTAATCTAATTTGATTCTAAGATTAATAAATTGAACCCTAAATTAATTGAATCCGAATGACCCGAACCTAAAAAACCCGGGTGTCAAACTCAAAATACTTGAACTTAAATTGACCAAACCCAAAACAACCCAAAACCAAAAATGACTAAACTCAAAATTGACCAGATTTTTAAAAACCAAAAATAACCCAAACTGAATTGGCCCAACCCAAACCCAGACCGACTCCCCCAATTGATAGGTCTAATCAGAATACATAACTGCCTATACAACAAATTTATGTGATCATATAATTCAATGAATGGATGCAGAAATATTCTTTGAACAAAGAAGCCGAAGATCTCAATAGAGGGGATATGGTCATATCAAGACTAAGAAATTTAAGAATTTATGGCATTGTTGAGAGTCCAGCTGTTGTAAAGCCTTATTGTTTCCCTCTTACATTGATATTCCAATAGTTTACAAAAGAAATATGACTCAAAAGAGAGCAGAGGCATCCTTCACTGTTGTTCAAAATTACATTAAAAAAAAAGATTACTTATGTTTTAGCCTCTTAAGCAACAGTACACTAAAATCAGGATTTATATAAGGACAAGCTAAGTAGATGAATACCAGTTGTGTTACTAAACCACTCAACCAAAATGACCTTTTGGCCAAAACAATAAACCAAAATGACTAATTAATCTAGTCAGTTTCATCAACTTGAATTTACACTACCTAATAAATTTCAACCTGACTTGGAACTCATGCCCAAATTTTGTCAATGTTTAAGTTCCAGTCATATTAAAAAATAATTAAACTACAAGTAAAACATCAACCTGATATCAGCCTATTCAACGGACATAGCTTAGTCAAGCTAAGCTTGCCAAGAATATGATTAAAGAAAACTCAAACTGCTAATTGAACAGAATGAGTCATGCTTGCAAGCCATGTCAAAGATTGCAATTCTTGGAGTTTAGACAATTTAAAAGCCTCTTTGCATGCTCATGCAGTTTCTGGTATTATCTTGATGATGCAATAGGATAATATTATCTTGATGATAAATTTGTTTTAAAGATTATTTTTTTTATTGGGTCTAATTTCTAAAATGATGAGGTGCAAGTTATTATAGGACACGGAAAAATCATGCTCTGCCACTGCAAACATCACATTTATCAGCACAGTTAAGGTGCATAATCCTCATAAAAGGTTCCACATACCTTCTGTATTACACGACAACCATACATTTGCAGACTAAAGTTTAACATATTTCCAACAAGCTGATCTGCAAGTTCCTTTCGCTGCTCAGAACTTCCATGCTCGAAAAACTGCAACACAGCAACAAAATTCGGCAACCGAACAATACATTATTCAAATCGTTTACAATTCCCATCAAAGTAATTTACTGAAAATATTCATAAAAGCACATTTAAAACCATACCTTTTGAATAACATAATTACCGAAAACATCGGTCATTAATCTTGAAGCATGTGGAAGGACTTCTTTGAAAACAGACTCCTTGTCCTCAACACTGCAATGTTCCAGCTTCTGCTGGATAAATCGACTCCCATGTTGATCAACACTGAAGTCAAACAAGTATTAAATATTTCTCCCATTGGAGATCATGATCATATTATATATAGAGAATGAAAACAAACTTGATAGAGAACACTACCTAAATTCAACTATATGCCCAGATATATTAGAGAGTTCAAATTTTCTGGCATTGCCAGATTTCAGTTCTTCGAGAAAAGAATGCCTTTTGGAGTCCTCAAAGCTGTTGACTCTCTGTCCTTGCCATCCAGAATATGGTCCTCCTTTTGGAGGAAACCTGATGTCACTTCTGCGACCTAGAGGACTCATTCCACCTACCGGTGATGATGGCATCAGTGGACTAGCAAGAGGCGATGTTGGGTATTGGGCAATGACACCCATACTTGGGTGACTTCCATAATAGCTACCACCAAAACTTCCAACTTTCCCTGGATTTGGAATGCTTAGCCTTCCATTAGTTGGAGGCTGAAGTTTTGGATCACCCATATAAGCAGCAGCATTCGGCTCTTTCTGCACAAAAGAATCAACTTGGCCCCCAGAAACACCAGTTGATGCCAAATGACCATGCTGAACTGAAGCACCATAGACGTTGCTAAAAGAATGGAGGTATTGCACATGAAGTGGATCGACTAAGGAAGGTGGCAGCACTAATCCCTGCTGCCCATAAAAGTGGCCAAGATGCTGCAAGTCACTTGTATGTGGAGTGCCTTCCCCATTTGAAGCACCAGAAGTTCGATTATTGAAGCTTGAACCAGAAGCAGTAGAATCAAAAGGCATGGGAACAACACCATGAGAAGGGTATCCTCCCATAAATGGAGGAAGAAGTGCAGGATTCATAGCATATCCACCTACATTGTATTGTGGAGCATATAGACCAGATGGCTGAAAATTAGGGTAAAGTGGATTTCCAGAAGTCATATATGCTGCTGCTGTTGTATACATGGTAGGTGAGAGTCCAGAAGAAGGCAATAATGGTTGTGACCCCACAGAAGAGAACTTAGGATGGCTATACAGATGGCTCAGTCCTTGAGAAATGGACTGAGCTGCAAGCGCTTGGGCCTGATGTGGGGAACCTTGTTGAGTGGATGAATAGTGTTGAGGCATATTCCTTCCACGAGACTGCTGTGCTTCTTGTTTCTTTTTCATTCTGGACTCTACAGTGGAGACAACTGACTGTGGAACATCATCAGATGCATCAGTATCCACCTTAAAATCTTTCATGTTTGTATCTTCTTTTGGAGGCGTTGGTAATCTCCCCACCTGTTCAGAACACAACGAGCTTGGAATTGAGGTGTCTAAAGAATCATTGGGTGATATCAAACCAATAGTATGAGCATCCAGGGCACTTGTATCCCTGCAAACATCAGGAGAACCTAATTTTGATTCTGGAACTTTTGAAGCGTTAATAGAAGAAATATTTGACGAGATTGCATGAACATCATGATCTATTGGCTCTTCTGCTGTTGAAATGCCTGATGAACGAGACTGATTATATACAGGCGAAGGGGTGCGGGGGAAGTCTTCCTACACATTCACCAAGAAAATGAAGCACAACATCAATATAAGATAACACAAACAAAAAAATTCATAGGCAAAGTGTTGAAAACTACTTAATGGACACAAACTAATATTAAAAAAACAAGCATGCAATACATTTAAAGCCCAACAGCTTTAAATTGAATTTCACAGGAACATCCATTGCAGCATAAAGTACATTCATAAGAGGTTAAGTTTGAATTTGATCCTTCCACTAAATCAATTCAGCGATTTTGGTTCTCTATCCCAATTTTAATGAATTTAATCCCTTTACTTTTATTAAAAGTCAATTTAAGGATAATTGATAACAATATTAAAATTTTGACATTAACATCAATATAAGACAACACAAACAAAAAAATTCAAATGTAAAATGTTGAAAATTACTTAATGGACACAAACTAATAATAACAAAACTAGTATACAACACATGTAATATCCAACATCTTTTAATTGACCTTCAATGGAACATCCATTACTACATAGAGTATATTCATAAGAGGTTGAAGTTTGAATTTGATCATTCCACTATTTCAATTTGGTGATTTTAGTTCTCTATCCTAATTTTAATGAATTTGATCCCTTAACTTTTATTAAAAGTTGATTTAAGGAAAATTGATAACGATGATAAAATTTTCCCTTTTACTTACATGATGTGCCATTTGGTGATAACATGACCTGCTAAGGTGGATTAATTTTTTGGCTACATGGCACATATCAGTCTAAAAAAACCATAATTAATTTTTTTGTTAATTCTAAAAAAATAGTTTTTATTAAAAATAAATTTTTACATATCAGTCTAAAAAATCATAATTAATTTTTTGTTAATTTTAAAAAATATTTTTTATTAAAAATAATTTTTTTGGACTAAATTCAAGATACCACAATAGTAAGCATTACATTCCATGAGACAACAGCTGTTACACACACTTTATCTCAGTTGTAAAAAAGCAATTACTGAATAAACTACCAAACAATATTCAATGGGGAGCATTAAACACACATTAAATACTGAATATACACCGATTACTGGATTATCTTGTCTCAATTATCATCGGAGTAAACTAACAAACAATAGCTTTTCTCTCTTTAGACGAAAATATTGAACAGCACTTACCCCTAACTGATACATTAATGATTAAACCTTAAACTTAACTGCATCACTGCACTTGCTACCCACCCCAACCATTATTAATCAAAGATAATGTGTCAAAAAATAATACAACTTAAAGTTATATGCTTAAACTAGTAAATAACAGTGCATACTTAATAGTCAACTCACCAATATCTATCTGGTCATGGTGCACAATATAATAAACAAGTAAATGGAAGAATAAATAAAAAATATAAGAAAGGTCTATACCTGTATCAGATCAACTAAACTCTTGTGCCGACCTGTCAAAGATGCTGAGTCTTGTTCCAGCAAAGACACAGTGCTATCTTCTACCCACTTGTCTGAAGATTGTCCAGGGGATCTATCATCCTCAGGTTCCTCCTTATGTGGAAAAAGTGAACTTCGATAAAAAGGTAACCCATTGCCACTATCATCTACAGATGTTGCTCTCCAGTTATTACCAAAACCACCAATATGGCGTGCCAAACGTCGATTTTCACGTGAGATGAGAGGTGGTGGAAGCCTTGGATTTAAGTTGATGTTGGAGCAATAGTAAGCAAAATAGGCTGGGTCAGAGCGCAGTTGTTCCTCGGACTCACAATTCTTGATGACACTGCTCAAACTTGCCAAGCTTGAAGTCAGACTAGTATTCTTTTGGGCCAAAAGGTTGCCAAGAGCTGCAAATGAACCTTCCATACTTGGCGGAGCACTACCACTTCGATTTGGCACTGTGTCTGTTTGATCTCCATGAATTCTTTGCCCCTTCAAAAGCAGCCTCAACTCCTCTACTTCCACATCTTTCAATGGTGAACCAAATACTAGAGTATCCTTTGAAGAGTGCCACTTTGTGGCTCCACTACTTTCTATCATTCTCATTGGGCTCTCAGTTGCCATGTTTTATAAAGAAAGATCAGAAACTTACTTTCCGTAATAAAAGTAGCATTCACATTATTCTCTTGGAGTATAGATAGCCAATGTAGATGCAATACCTTGTCCCTCAACTAAAAGTTGCTAATCATCCAAAAGATGTATGAACAGGCTGCAAAAGCTAGCATTTCATGGTAAAAAATGAGATGCTTCTAGCATTAACAGCAAAGCAACAAAAATAAGTAATCAAGTTGGTCTCAGTATGAACAACAGGAATATGATATTCAAATAAGAAAATGATATATATTTCAAAGAAATCAAGCAAAGTATCATATCATATTTGAAGCATAAATATCACATATCACTAGCCCTCACTGCAACAGTTTGTACATTCTCAGTATGAACGACAGGAAAATGACATTCAAATACGAAAATGATACATATTTCAAAGAAATCAAGCAAAGGATCATATCATATTTGAAGCATAAATATCACAAATCATTGGCCCTATTGTAATAGTTGGTACAATTAGATTTAATATAAAATTAGGGCTCATATATATTGATCATGAAAGACCATGTCAACTTCATGGTCATATTTATTCAGAAATATCGGATATATCTGCCACAAATGATTCACAATGGTCAAACTAGCTGCAAATCACAATTACTCGTCCAGCCACTTTGGATCGCAATGCACATAAAATATGTTAAATGGGCTGCTTTCACTAAGCATTAGCTTGTATCTGAAAGCATCTTTTAACAGAAATGAAAAAACAATATGTCGTATATCCCCACGTTTAATCAAAAGGACAAGAAAAGAAAAAAAGAATAAGCCACTTTCCTTCAGTTTCTATATAGGGTTATCAAATTTGCCGGCTCCATAATTTAGCCATGCCGCATGAAATAATTTCCTTCATATATTATCCTACCATTTCTAGTAAAAATGCAGGAGAGTAAAGTTGAATACTGTTTTCTACAAATTTTTTCTAATATACTGGACACTTGCAGGCAAGAAAAACTTTCCACTTTCCTGCACTTTTCTCGTCAACTGTTTTCGTAAACTTTCAGACATCTAAATGGAGCCCTAGAGAAAACAATTGTTTCAGCATTGGGCACAAACATGACAAGAACCTCCAGAAATGAAAGCAATTTCAAAAATTAGGGGAAAAAAGAGCATGGAATGCAGAAAATTTTTGCCAAACATACAGAATTGACATAGAACAAGGAGGCCAGAAAACACAGAATAGAGCGAAAGGGGAAGAAAGAGAGAAAAAATGGAGAGGAATAGAAGAACTAGAGGTAGAAAACAAGAGAGAATCAGTAGAACATAAATATTTAAAATCCTACTATAAACTCATATTCATCAAAAACCTACTATAAACTCAAAAAACATACATATTTAAAAGGAGGTAGCCTTTTTCCATCTCATAAATCCCACTCTTCCTTCCCAAGATCCAAAGCCGAGATCTCGAAATTGGAGTCTCAAGTTATGACTATTAGATGTCTCTTTGGGGATGCAAAAAAATGCCAAATATTAACTAACACATTACATTTTTTAAATAATCTTAAATCCCTACATCTATGCGAAAATTACAATTAAACCAAAAAAAATATAAGAAAATAAAATTAACCCAAAATACTTAAGAAATTTATGAAACAAATTTTTAATCAATTCAAAGCTGCATATCTGTGATGTGAGAATTAAGCAACTTTTTTCTTAATTCCTCCCAACAACCACCCAATAATCCAAAATGCCAAAAATTTGGAGGACAATCTAATCCAAATATCTTTCAAATAAACAGCTATACATTTTTATTTACTTGCAGGTCTTAAAACGTCAAGAGTCTGCAAGAATGTTGACAATACCGCTAAAGTGTCATTGTTATAAGATAAAGTCCCACCAGAAGGACATTGGGCTTAATGCAGCAAATTAAAATTTCATATAAGTTACAAAAACAGATTTGTTCTTCTATGTATAAGAGGAAATATGGTTAGTTCATATAAAAGATAACATATATATTCCTTTGACATATGGCTTTCTTCAGACACCAGAATAGTATCATAAAGAATTATAGAAGTTAAGTTCTTCTAAGGTATTTAATGAAGATGTGTTTATTATATGCAAGAAAGTATTGTATGGGGATGGGCCATGACTTGAATATGTGGTTCATTTTAACACAAGCTACTAGACAAACGAAATAAAGGTTCCAAAAATGAGATTTCCAAGATAGTGTCACCGGCAGAGCAAGCTAAGACATCAAAATCGGAAAGGCTGGAACTAAAAAGTAGAGATCGGGATCAGTAACAAGACATAGACATGGATAGACACCAAGAGAAAAGAGGTGAAAGACAAAATTAAATTGCAAACAGATAAATGGGTCAATCAAATTTGCCACAGTAAAGCGAAGGCAATCATGGAAACCATCAACCAGCTTGACTCTCATCCCTTTAGAAAAATGAATTGGAACTACAATTCATCATCCGCTCAAAACCAGTAAATGATGCAACACATCATAATCTATACATGAATTCCTTCAACCATACCAGCTGTTTCGCTCATATAGTTCATAATTCTGTTGCAAGATTATTCCAAAACTCCATAGAGACACACAGCTAACAGCTATTGACCGGTACACATATAGCCTAGTGATCAATTTTCATTTCAGAAGCTAAGAAAAACTAATAAAAACAGAAAGAAAACCAACAAAAAGCAAGTCAACCAAGAAAAACCCAAACTATATCAACCAAAAAAACCCCAAAGCTACGCCCATTTACTTCAAGAAACATATCATCGAAGAGCCATATTCAACAGAATTAAACAAAGCCCATTGATCTTAAAGCAAGAAACAGTCTTTACTCAACAATCAACCCAATCCAAACCACACCAAACAGCGAAAAAAGCAATGACCAAATATCCCATTAAAAAAAAAAAAACACATGCTAAAGTAAAAGACCAAACCTTGGAGTTTGAAATGAAAAGTCTTCTTCCCCAAGTCTGTTGGAAGCTGTTTGAACTTCTAGAAATGCCTAATAAACCCAAAGTCTCAGACTTGAGAAAGAGAGAAAGTTTGTTGCTTTGGAAAAGCAAAGCAAAATGTTTACTTGTAGAATTTGCCTATGTTCTAAGGGTTTCTAAGTTTTGGACTTTCATTTTTCTTTTTTTTTTAATAATAATTTAGTAAATTTTATAGCGTGCAAATGTAAAAATAATGAATAACAATGTATACTTTTACTTAGAGATTTTTTCAAATGACGGAATTGCCATTCTGTATATTTTTTGCTCTTCAAGAGCTTTATTGTGGTTTGCAATGGTTATTGGTTAATGGTACAGGTTGTAAATTTGGATGAAAATTGAAGGCATTTTGTTTTTGGGTGAGACTGTGAGTGACTGTGAAGTTTGAACACGTATCCATGCGAATTTTCGAAGAAAGAACTACCGTGGATGTCTGACATCAAAGCTTTTGTTCCAAGGGCGTGTTTGGAATTTAGTAAATTTTAGGTTTTTTTCCTTCATAATTTTAGTATATAATTATTGTAAAATTATGTTAAACGTCTATATATTATAAGTGACAGTGATTTAAATAGGATTTGATTCATTTTAATTTTTTAGATAATATATAAAATTATAAATTTTTAAAATTCGATTTAAATTTTCATACTATCCTATTTTAACCAAATTTTATTATTTAATTTGATTCATCAATTTTTTTATTTTTAATTTTTTTATTTTTATATATTATTTTAATATAATTTTTAATATATTTAAATGTATTTAGGTATAAAATAATTATTTTTATTTTATAAAAATTTAAAATATATAAAAACTAATAAAAATATATAATTTAATTTGATTTATTTTTTTTTATTTTTTACTTTTCGATCTAAAATTTAATAGATATTTAATATTCAAATTTAATCCTAATCGAATAAGAAAAAATTGATTCAAACCAAACCGAACACTATGATTTCAAATCGATTTTTAATTTTTTCAATTTTTTTCACACCTTTATTATATATTCTGTCAAATTTTGAAAATTAATTTTTACAATATAATTTATATAAATTTTATTTTCATATTATTTTGATTTGATAATATTAATTCAATCATTAATTTTGTTAATTTTTTATTTATAAAAATTTTAACGTGTTTGTTCATTTAATGAATTAACATTTACTTTGTTGACGTAGTATTGACTTTGATTATATGATGATTTAGATAAATTAAATCAATTATTAAATTATATAAATAGTAACTATACATATATAAATTTTGAAATTTATTCCTTATAGTTTAATTTCATAAAAATTTCATTTTTTGATATCTTAAATTTAATAATGTTAATCCAATTACTAATAAAATAATTTTTTTTTACTTTTTTTAAAAATCATATATTTATTTTTTTTTAAATCAACATTCGATTTTTTTTAGAAATTTTTCATATTTTTAAAATATTAAATTTAATACATTTAAATATATTAATTTTTCAAAAAAATCATGTTTTTTTAAACAATTTAATATTTTAAACTTTTTACAAAATTTCTAGATTTTTAAAATATTAAATTTAAAATTTTTAATAATTAAATTTTAAAATCAAATTCATTTTTGAAATTTTAACATTTTATTTAATCAAATTATTCAATTTGTTGTTTTTAATTAATTTTTATAAATTTTTTGTTTTTTATTTTTTTATTTTCTAAATTTTTAATAAAGAATATAAAAAATTTATAAGTAACGTATATAGAAAATTTTATACAATTCAAAAAATTAAAAGAACAAATTGAATATTTTGTTAAAAATGTTGAAATTTGATATAATATAAATAATTTCAAAAAAAAATGAAATTTTAAAATTTTGAAAAAGTAAATTTAATATTTTTTAAAAAATCTTAAAAAGTTGTAAAAATTCGAAATATGAAATTTTAAAAAACTAAAATTGATTTTAAAAATATGATGTAAAAAAATGAAAATATTTTAAAAATTAAAAAGATTATAAAATATGAAAAAGATTAATTTTAAAAAAAAATAAAAATTTGATTTAATAAAATAAAATAATATTAATTTATTAGTAATTAAATCAACATTATTAAATTCAATTTATACGAGGATCAGATTTTATGAAATTATATTAAAAAGACTAAATTATAAACTTTTTGTAAGTACAATGATCATTAATATAATTTAATAATTGATTTCATCCATCACTTTTATAATTTAATAATTGATTTAATCCATTCAAATTATCATCTCAACAAAATTAAGTTTTTTTAATGACAAAAAATTAATCGAGTTAGTTATTAGATTAATATTATTAATTCAAAATAGTATAAGAATTAAATTTTATATTTTGACAGATTATTTATAATTTGATTTTTTAATATAACTAATATTTTTGCATTTGTTTCACATATATTTTGATTTTTTTTAATATACGTCAATAAATCATATAAATATGAATTAAAGATTTTAATGAAGTTACTATTTTAATACTCTGGAACTTTTTTTCATACTTTTTCTTAAAAAATAAGAAAATGATATTTTTAGGAAAAAAATAAAAAGTGATTTTTTTTCATTTTTAGATAAATATTTTTCATGAAAACTTTCCAAAAATAAAAATTAAAATAAGCTTAACCTAATTTTTTTTATTTTTATAAGATAAAGAAAATAATCTTATTATTTAATTATTTTTAAGAATCATTTAAATTTTTATAATTAAAATTATATAAATTTTATAATAATTATTAAAAAATTCAAAATTAGGGGAAAAAGAAAGAAAGCAAAGGAATCTATGTAAAAAAATAATAATAAAATTATGAGAAAAAATCATTACTTCAGGTTATTGTAATAAACTCTATAAATTTAAATACTTATAAATATAAAATCTTGTTATCATTATACAAAACATTATTATAAATTTGATATCATAGATTTATTTTTTATTTTTTACTGTTAATTTGTACAAGAGATATTTTATGATAGTAAAATAAAGTTTAAAATACTCAAATAAAATTATAATTGAATTAAAATTTTTATTTTTTTATTAACTTGAAAACCAATTAAATCCATGATATCTATAAAAATGTATTCTGCAACAGAATCATATATATTATTTATTATTTAAGTAAAAAAATGTTAGTTAATATATTAATTTCAACACTAAAAAATGTCAACATTAATTTGATTTTTATTAAAATTAATTAAAATTTTTTAACACACAAGTTATATGTTTATTTTTGCTCTTACAAATTACCTAACATTAATCAATACAAAAATAAAATTTAACTTTTAAAAAGACAAAATCATCTAAACATATAATAATTTTAAGTTGAAAAATAAATTGAGGTGACTCCACAAAATTTTGAGTGTTGTTGGGAGACTGCTTTTTTTAGTGCCCCTATCAATCCTCAGAGTGCTAAGACAAGTACCATTATTTTTTATAAAAATTAGTTATTTTCTTTGGATTTTTTTTAGTTTAATAATAAAAATAATTTTTACTTTTAAAATAATTGTATATAAAATTCACATTTATAAATAATAATTTTATTTATAATTTTTGTTGCAATTAAACAATTACAAATTTATTGTAAAAAGAATTATTGCTATATGCTTCATTAAAAAATGAGTTTATATAATATATTATCAATAAATCATATGATAATAAATTATTAATGAGTAAATTATTTTAATTTATGTATATTTATTTTAAATATTAATAATTATTCATTAATAAATTATCATTATCTAATTCACTAATAATAAATATAATTTATTCATCGATAACATATCAAATATAAATTCTTAAAAAATATATATCATTACCATTATTATAATCAAAGCAAGAAATAGTAACTTAATAATTAATGTCTTTGTCCTCTTAATATTGATGATGATTACGATGATAATGCTGATTATTCATTAACACTTTTGACCAAATTAAACTGTCTCCTTAAACAACCATAATAATAATTAAGGTTAAACAAGGACAGGAGAAATTAGTGGTAAGCAATGAAAACATCATTTTCACTAAAATTATTCTCAACATAAATTTAAATTTAAATTTAATTAATTTATATGATTTTTTAAAAAATGTAATATTTAATATATTCTTTTATAACAATCCACAGCCTCTTTCATAAAAGGAAAAAAATTAATCGGTTGCTTAGGTTTTCAAAAATTAAAAATTGAATTAATCAATCTCTTTTAAAAAATAATCAAAATCAATCAATTTATTTTGATTATTATTTAATCAGTTAATTATAGGATTAATATTGTTTTGTTCAACTTTAGTTTGTTTGATTATTATTTACATAAATTAAAGTAATATAGTAGTTGCTAATAAATTCTTTTTTTTACAATACAATAAATGGTTAAATTATGGTACCAATTTTTTATGGTGTAATTAAATTAAGTATAATTGATAAATGTAAGCAATTGGTTGATTAGGTCTTCAAAAATTAAAAATTAAATTAACCGATCTCTCTTAAAAAAACTTCAAAATCAATTGATTTATTCTTATAATAAAAAATAATCAAATTGAAATAAATCAATCAGTTGGATCGGTTTTAAAAATTAAATTTTTATTTTTATTTTCATAATCTATTTTTATCTGCATTTCATTGCAGGAGTATAATAAAAATGCTAATTAATGATGAAAGTTAACATAAAAATCTTTATTTCATTTACTTAAGGAAATTAATCTAATTGACTTTTTTTTTTATCTATACATTGTTGTGAGAGTGAAATTTTTTATTTAAATAAAAAATTAAATTTACAAATTTATTAAATCCTATCTTTTTTATTTTTTATTATCAAATAATTAAAATATATTTTTAATAAATAAAATAAGTAAATAAATATATAATAAGGCCTCTGTTTCAGGTGCGAGCAGGGGATTGAGACAATTTATTATGCTTGGAAGGGGTTGCAAAATTGCAAAAGAGGTGTGAGACCAACTGCATTATCACTGGCCTGTAGCAGAACCAATCCCAACTATAGACGAATAATGGACATAGAAATGGGTTGGAGACGCGAGCAAGGAACAATTGCACTATAGCCTGCTGGGCAATATGGAATGATCAAAATAGAGAGTTACATGGTGAAGGTAGACAACCGCCCATCCATGTAGCTGATTTCATAACGAAGTACAGGCAAGAAAATATGGCAGCATAGGTAACAATGGTGCCTGAACAACCTGCGACTCAAAGACCATGGTCCTATCCGGACAAGGATATCCACAAAGTGAGCTTTGACGAAGGTTTAAACAAACAAGAACACAAAGGCAGGATAGGGGTGGTCATACGAATTGCAGAAGATAGAGTGATTGGAGCCTGTGCAATGAACTGGGAGAATGTCAATGATCCATTTGTTATTGAGCCACATGCAGTGGTGACAGCCCTTCTGTTAACATCAGAAATTAGATTACAAAAAATAGTGCTCGAAGGAGACGCCTTGAGCATTATAAAGAAACTGAATGCCAGTGACAAGGACTTCTCTTGCATAGGACATATCATTGAAGATGCAAAAGTGATAGCCAACAAATTTCAGTACTGCACTTTCACGTACAACAATAGAGACAACAATATTCTAGCCCATAGAATGGCAATGTTTAGCAGAGAGACAATAGGGGAAAGAGCTTGGATGGGTGAGGTACCTGAGTTTTTGTGTAACAATGTTTCTGACACTGCGTACCAGCTTTAACATGAAATGAATATTATTTCTCTCTCTCTCTCTCAAAAAAAAAAAAAAAGAATAATACCAAAATTTTGGAGTAAAAGCTCCGAGTCAAACCAACTTTCTATGATGTTTTGTTTTGATTTTTGCTATCCACCATAAACGCAATCGTTTAACATATGAGCACAAAAAAACTAAAGCCCTAATCATTTTGCTTTTTCCTTTTCTTTCTCTGGGGACATCATCTTCTGCCTCTCTCTTTCAAACGTTTTGAGACCTTAGTCACCGACCATCCTTTCAACTGATCATCGGCCATCGTAAGGTCCACCTTTTCCCTTCACTCCATTCTTTCAATCCTAGCTACCGGAAAAGGAGACCCCAAAAAGGAGATCAAAGCTTAGAACCCGAGGACCACAATTTCTCTTCGTTGCCGATTACTGCTTCTAATGTCTAAAACAACCTCTTCAGCTCCGAAAACGTTATCTTTCTCTCTTTCTCCCTTTTTTTTTTCAATCCTAAACATTAAAAGAAACTCATGAATCCATCCCGCGAAACCCCAAAGAAAACTCCATGCTATTCTATTTTTGCTGCATTTTTTGCCGAGCGATTTTAATGGAACGACGTCTGTTACTTATATGTTTATTGTGTAGTAGTTGTGGTTGAGTTTGCTGATATCACTTTTGTGTTGCTTATGGGTTGTCTCGATGATTCCTTGCATTTTGCCTGTGATTATTTCTGCATGATTGATTGTAGTTATTGTGTGACTGCTTTGCTTGTTGTGCTCTTTGAGTTTGATTGCCGATTGTGGCTGCTAATTGTTCTTGCATTAGGTTCCGGAAATTGTTTCTGTGTTCTATGGATTTGGGTTTTTATGCTTATTGTTAATTCTAGGTTTCTTGCTACTAACAGTCGATTATCTTATTGATTGTGTCCCTGAGTTTCTTTTGACTTCTGCGTTGTTTCCCTTCCCTAATTCATTCCCTATCATATCTCAGTTCTTTCCAAAATTAATCCTTCAATCATTTTTTAATATCAAAACTGATTTAGTTTTAAATTGAAAGGAAGGGACGACTTTAATATATTATATAGATTTGATTTTGTGAAAAAAAAAAAAAGATGATTAATAAATGCTTATTTCCACCTGTTTTTATTTTTACACCTATTTTTTAAAAATTATTTTAAGTGAAATTAATTAATATTTTTAAAAAATTTAAAAATTTTCTAAATCTCATATACAAAAGTTTTTAAATTTTTTAAAATTTAATTGGTTTAGTAATTTCATTGTCATTTCCCTTCTCTCAGACGTTGAAATTTTAAAAAAATTCAAAGATTTACATGTTGTAATTAAATGCTTTTTTTTATTAAAGTTATGACTTTTGTTTATCATCGATTTGTAAATAAATTGATAATTATTTTAAATAAATCGTGTTTTTTATTTGTAATGTCGTGAAAATTTTTTAAAAAATAAGAGTTTTTTTTTTCAATTGAATTTTTAGACTTAAAATTTAGAGTTTAGAATTTTTTGATTTATCATAAATATTTGGAATCTTTTAAAAGTAAGAAAGATAATTAAGTAATTTTATTTAGAAATAATTTTAGAAAATAGTATAGAGAAAAAAAAAAGTGTATTTAGAAGTTTCCAGTTTTTATTTGTGCTTTTTTTTTTTTTTTTCTCATTTCCCCATTTTTCTCTTTCATTTCATTTTTAATTTTTTTCTTATCCTATTCTGTATGCTACATTTTGAACATTCCGATCGGTTGGACTGCATCCAAATTTAAAAAAAAAAAATCCCAATTTGATTCCATTTTTTTTTTTTTTTGGTTAGAAACTAAATACAGTAATCGGATGCATAACTATGGAATTCTTTTTTGTGATTTGGCAAAAATGCATAATTAGAAAGATATCATCTATAATTATTATACTATAATTAATCAATTACAAATTAAATTTGTATATGAATATTAAAATTTTATATGAAATCTTAGTTATAAATAGTGAATTTTTACATAAATTTTTATTATGATTAAATAATTATAAAATTATAATAAAATTGTAAGCAAAATGCACTTGCATAACCATACGTTAATAATTTTTTAAAACAATGCTACATCAATCCATGATCAAATTAAGTACGGTTCTTTTACTACTTTTTTGGGAACAACTGTATTTTCAAGAAACAGCAGCCTAAACCCCGGTATTGTCTACCACCACAAAGCCCTCCAGTTCAGCTGGATATCAACAGCTCTCGAGAAGAATAATATCCTGTAAAATACTTAAATACAGTATATCCTATACGGGCACAACATCTACTGACAACAAGGAAACCTGCAGGATAATTCTTCTTGATGTCAAGAAAAATCTGAATAACAGATGGTATGGCACTTTCCAACACCTTCACTTATATGGACAATACACATCATCAAACAGCAACACTTCTACTCCAAAAGATATACAGATACTATATTTGCTAAGATTCAAAATTGGAGTGTACAAGCTAACTCTTGCTCATCAACATGTAAAACAATGACAGAAAAGTAGTATCATGTGTATTCCAATTTTGAAAAGTAGAATTGTGCAAAACAATAACAATATTACACATCGCAAGATATTCGGAGCTTGTCTTGGTGGATTGGTGGACAATCGAGGCAGCACCTCTTGAGGTGAGATCCTATAGGTTTTTACTCTTATAAAAGACAAAGGCAAACATAGATATGGATTACAATTTCAAAGCAGCAATGGCTTCAGGTTTAAAATCAACCCTTAGACTCAAAACTCTCCTAACCTCAGCCGGGGTCAGTCTCCAGGTCATAGGTCCAGAGTTCTCACCCCAGAAATCCAGAATCTCAGAAACCTTTTCCAAGTTGAGGATGGTTGCCATTTGAGTAAGACGAGCAAATTTGTCTCTCACAGTCCTCTGTGTCATCCCAGAGAAATGGCTTACCAAAGCTCTAGTATCTCTATCAAGCTGAAGGCCTCCAAGCTGACTAAACCTTTTCTGCATCATAATCACTTCCAACCTCTTCACAATGAAGTCAATCACCAGATGTACAAATGAATCATAGTTGTTAGCAGTCATTAGGGGTTGCAGCCAAGCCACATTGATTTCAACAGCATGAAGAAGCCTCTGTACCCATGGATCATTCACCTCATTATCAGCATATTCAAACTCTGATAGTTCATAGCTGATGGTTGCTACACTGTCAAGTACAGGACGGATTCGAGGTGTCACAGTTGCCACAAGTTGCTCCATACCAGCATTCAGGGTTTGCTTGAAAGTGTTGCTCAAGTCAGCTAACTCAGACAAACAAGATTTCACCTTTTCCCTTTCAGCTGGTGCAGGAAACACCTGAAGATAATGAAAAAACCAAATTCAGTGCAGTAGTTGGATAACAGGTTGAGGCACAGAAACACAAGCAACAGAAGCTAAGTTAAGTTTACAAGTAGCAGTAAATACTATTATAGTATTATGAAAAATATTTATCACAAACCCTGAATTAATCATGAGAAAGTGCCTAGGGGTGAGTAAATGGTCAATTCGGTCGGTTCGGTTTGAAAAAATCAATAACCGATTTAACCGACTTTCATTTAACAAATAACCGAACCGACCAAAATCGGTTCGGTTCGGTTAAATAACCGATTTTTTTTATCATTTTTTTTCCTATTATGAATAATTATTTAACCATAAATTCAATTCAATAAAATTCAAACTCTAGTATCATTCAAACTAAATTACTAAAGAATTTAATAATTTCAACAATATTTTACCAAAAATAAATAAATAAAAATATTTATCTCAATTTTTTTATTTTTAATTATTAAAAAGTCGGTTAATTCGGTCAGTACGGTTATCAATTTTAAAAACCGAAAATCGACCGAATTAACCAATTTAACCGATTTAAAAAACCGATTATAATTAAAACCGAATAAACCGAACCGATTTAACCGAATTCACTCGGTTTTGGTCGGTCTAGTCGGTTCAAACCGACTTTTGCTCACTCCTAAAAGTGCCCAACAGTAACCACATAGCTCTTATCATGCTATTATAGGGATCACTTTTTGGTACAATATAACATATAGAAGTTCTAGCTTAGCTAGTAATAGAACCAATCTGCATATCTCAATTCCAACATTAAACATAAGGACTACAGGATATCAAAGCTTTTTCCGGTTAGTCTGAATTCCAACACTGCACTGTTTCTCTTTTTGGGTACATGAGCCATTCAGTCATATGCTCAGCAAGAAGCAAGAACTGGCACCAAAGCTGGCTCAAGAAAACCCATAGAAGATTATCAAGTTCTTACTTGCATAATCTTCAACATGACTCTAGTACTAAATCTTCAGTTACTTTTGGATGGCATTAATGCCAACCATTTTACTTTTTCTAAAATGCACAACTGTAAAATGGTTTACAGTTTGAAATATTACAGAAAATAAAAGTTCAGCATCAAAGCTTTATCATGTGTTGAATATCTAACCTAAAACATTTGCTTGAATATAAGACCATAGGAAACCCAATACTTAACTGATGTTAATAACACCACCAAAAAATCTACCTCACCTGTTGATTCAGTACTAACAACAAAAACAAATGAGCCTAACCTGTGGACAAAGAAATAAGTAGCAACAAACAACACAACAAACTTGGGCCATGATACTGTTTCATGTCAAGCATCCAACCTAAAACCAAAGCAATAAGCGGAGAGCCCCAACTTAAATATAAAAGCACATCAAACATGATACTTAACTGATGCAAGATAACACCAGTTAACATTATATAAGAACCATTACAAAACACAGTGAAGTAGTTCTTCTAAAATACCATCCCTACATTTCAAATTATATATCTGCAATAGGATGAACCACTGTCTCCAATGTAATAAAACACTGCAATAATGCCTTGGCCAATGATGGAGGGCGGCATTTAAGCAACAGAAATGTACACATTTTGGGCCAAAAAAAGAGGACTTGTACTTATTATCTATGTGGAATTTGACCTACTTATATGACCCTTTGTTAGGGTTTTATGGAGCTCATAAAAACAAGGTTAGCTTTAAACTTGGGGATTAAATTGTGGTTCGTGGCCATTGCTCTCGTGATTTTTTTTCTTATCTTGCACAATTTTCTCTAAAATACCATAACCATAACTCAACAACTCTTTTTCATAACATTTAAGTTAGTTATTACATTTTCACTCAAACTCATAATAGCATTAAAAAAGCTAAATATGTATCTTTTAATATTAAAATCAAGTAAATATTGTTAATTAAAGTTAAAAAAAACTCACTCAAAAGTTTCTGCCTTACCTCCAAACCAATCTTCCCCTTGAAAGATGAATTTTCACACAATTGGTTACTAACACTTTCCCGTTCAAAATACCCTTTTTCCCTCCCACCAATTTGTTTGCTTCACCACTCAATCCCTCCCAATTCCACTTCTCCCTCCATTACATATAGCATTTAATCCTTTATCTACCACTGGCCAGAGGTCTGCACCTTTATTTTCTTCAATTTCATTAGTATGTTTCCTTATTGGAACAAGGCCCTAGCCTCTTACAGTCTGTTTACATCCTCTTATCTCCCTTGACCGGCAGTCCACAGTCAATGAAACTAGCCAAAAGCCATCAGCAATCCTCAAAGAGTGCTCAAAGTAGCACACTTTTCAGCTTCTTCCTTGAACAAGTATCATAGCAGAGCAGTGAAAAATCTTTCCTCAATTTGCAGAAGCAAGTTCCCACCCCTCCCCTCAACCCAAGGCTGCCATGAAACTCAAAATAACAAAGTAAGCTCTCATGTGTTTATACAACAATTCTTCAGTTGAAAATTTTTGGGTATAAAGAGAGATTGTTGATAAATTTGTGGTTCTTTCCTTGAAAATTGATCTGATTTCTTTAGACTGATGCTCCAGATTGATTGTTTATGGTAATTTGTTGAATAATTGTAGTTCCAAGGTTGTTTCTTTGTGGGTATTAGGCTGTTTTCTAAGACAATTTTCTCTAGAAACGGAAATGGGAAAAGGGCAAACCAGCTACATGCATGGGAAAGTGGCTGCTGCAGTCCGCTATTGTTGTGAGCGACTGCTAAACCATTTTAATGTCGCTAAACTGTAGAGGCTGTACATGCCACTAAGTATGTGATTCACATTTACAGAGGAACAGTGACTAAAAGCAGATGTAGAGGCTGCTGCTACTGCAATATAGTCAATACGCTACTATTTAGTACCCTGGTTAAACTGTATATGGTAACTTTCGATGATTGAGATATTGAGACTTTGTTCAGACTACCAAACTTCAGATATTTGTGTTACAGTTTGCAGTTAACAGAGGAATTTCAGAAAATTGTTTCCAGAGTTGAGTTTTAGAATTTGAACCTTGATTAGTTTTCCCCAATAGTGTTTAGAAACCTTCTATATTTCACACCACTCAATGGCAGGTACCATGCCTGAAAGAATGTGAGGTGTGCCAGCTTATTCCTAAACGCAACAACTGAGCACTTCATGGGAGGAGGATCAGAAACATACCATAATTGGCTATAAACTGCTGTACCAGCATACTCATGCAGAAATTTGATATCTGCCATTGATTCCAGATACTTGGAGAGATATATAATTTGGTTGGTATCACTGAGGTAGTTTTGCTCCAACATAAACCTAGGGCTTGGTCCTGATGGTTTGCCCACCCCCCTTAGGTGGTAGACTTCCTGCAGAGCTGGGATTCTAGGCCCAGTTCCTACGTATCCCCAGAACTCAGCCTAACACTTACATAGCAAACTCCCTGAGCATCAAGTTCATTTTATCCAAACATTAGACAGTTCATACAATCATAAGAACAAAATCCCACCATTGGCAGCTAAATCATGTAAATTTTATTCATTGAGAAAGGAGATAATAATGATCCTTTTATTAATATTATTTTAATAGTTCATTTCCTTCTTTCCTTTCCCTGTCTGTCTCTAAGAACCTTGTCTCTAAATCTGAGCCTTCTTAAACTGTAATGCTTCAATGCATTATGGAGAACCATCAATGTTCTCACAACTCCCAACACTAGAAAGAAATAAGCTAGTTACTTGAAATAAGTAAACAACAATCTTGGAAATTCCCTATACAACGCAGGTGATAAAAACATAAGCAATTTGAAGCATGAGCAAATTAGAAGAACAAAAAGCAAGTAAACCACTGACCTCAGCACACTGCTCTTCAATTTGATGTTTTAGTTTCATGACATACTCACTGCTCAGATCTATATTATTCAGCGCTGTAGCTATCTCGGTCCCAGTCTTCTGAACACCAACACCACCCAAGAACAACTTTGCCCCAAGATTAGGTTCTCTTATTTTCTGTTGCAAAGCTTCATAGTATTCATTATTCAGCAAACTACTAGCACCACTCAGTACTGCAACCACAGAGCTAATATTAGAGGTAGAAATCCCCCTCCGCAAGCAACTTTGCAAAACATAAAACACATCATCCACCATGGAAGTAGTAAGGCTATCAGGTACATGCTCATCTATCCCTATTGCCTTCCTCACATTTTCCACCATAAAGAATCCCTCTAAAATCACATAAAACCCAGTAACATCTTGAATAACTTTGCTAAAACTTCCTGTCCTAAAATCTTTAATGGCCCGTGGCACTAAATCTGGATCCACAGTTGTCATCCCCTTGATCTTTGAAAGCATATATTCTGTGTAATCTTCACCAAGTTGCATCAACGACAATATTTCTTCTAAATACAACTCAATCTCCCTCGGGTTGGGTCCTTCGGATGCTCCAACAGTTAACAAATTCTTATTCCGAGCATTGATCTCAGAAGACAACTTAGCCAATTTCCTATATTCCATATATTTTTTCAAGATCAAAGAACCCCTTGAATCACATTCCTCTTGTAACTCAAAAATAGCATAGACCACTCCATATTCTCCACAAAGACTCCTTAAAATCTCATCATTTTCCTCAACAGCCAACACAATATCTTTAAACAAATTAGTCAAACACCCAACAAAATTTACCTGATTACTCTGATTCTGTCCATGGCTTTGTTCCATCAACTCCACCAAATGCTCATACTCCAACCTAGATCTCATCCCAATCACTTTCTTCAAATACCCAACATAAATTTGCAACCCTTCTTCCTCTAGCCCCAACGGCGAATAAAGCTTAATGAATCTCAAAATTGTTGGATGATCCCTTTGATCCACGGCTGCCATTAGTTTTTTCTTTACAATCCCTTCCAGCTGCTTCTTCGACGCTAACAACTGTTCCCTTTGGTCCGATCCAGAATCCTTAAACTTACTATCAATCTCCAAAAATGTCCTTACGTATGTGGTGGCTGACTCGTAATCCTCAGCGTCGAGAGCGCTTTTGACGCCATCGATGCAACTCCCTCTCTCTACAATGGCGTCGATGCGGAGGAGCGTGGAGTTTACGCGTGACTGAGCGAGGTCGAGTTCGCGGACCTTGCGGCTGACTTGGTCGGCGAGGTCACAGGTTGAGGTGATGTTGGAAAGCATGTGGTCGGATTCGGCCTTGACAATTTCGAGAACGTCGGCGGATCTTTGGAGGCTGTTGAGGTTCTTGTCGAGGTCGGTGCGCTGGGAGAGGAGGGTGTCGAGGTCGACATCGAGGGCTCGTTGGTAAGCGATGCACTCGTGGAGGAGACGCGTCATGGCTCCGACGTCGGTAAGGGAGCGGACGTAATCGAGGGCCTCGGGAGTCCCGAATTTGATGGAGGACGTGGTTGTGTCATCGTGCTGGTCAGTTGATTCGGAGAGTTTGGGGATGGAGCCGTTGGTGGTCGACGGCATTTCTTTCTTTGAAGAACGTAAAATTACAAGCAAACGTAGATTCAGATTCAGATTTATATTGGGTTTTGATTTTTATTCCAAGGTTTTAAAGAATTTTCACAGACTAGAGAGAGCGACTGGAAAAAGGGTAGAGTTGTGCATTGGGAAAGATCGTCATGCGATAATTAAAATTAGATTTAGTTGTACAAAATATTAAAATTTTGGTATTCTATATGTATTATATAAAATATTAAAATTTATATTTGTACAACATTTGATAAAAATTTTGTATATTAAAATTTACGTTGATATGTAAATATAAATTTTATTTTTTTATTTTATTAAATTTATATATAATTATTATTAAAATTTTAAATAATATTATTTTTATATTTTATTTTCGTATATTCATATCATATTTGTATTATATTATTATATTATATTTTAAATTAATAATTTAATTAAAATAAAACTAAAAAAACTATCTTTTAAATTTTTAATAATATTTTATTTTCCAATTTAATTTTAATTTATTCCTCTTTTATAAAATTTTTCAATAAAATTAAATTAAATTATTTATATATATATTGTATATTATATTTATTTATTATAATATATATATAATATAAAACTTAACGTATCATAATCTATGTCCAAACATAGAACATATTTTTTTATTTTATTAAATTTATATATGCTTTTATTAAAATTTAATTTTTTTTGTATTATATTATTATACATATTTAAAATTAACGTGCCTATAAAACTCGAACTACATTTTAAAAAAAATATTTAGATTTTCCCCTATACATAAAACTAATAAAAAATACTTAACATAGATATTTATACGTGAAAAAAGAAAAACATTACGATAGTTTAGAAGATATAGAAATGATATTATTTACTGATAGTATTAAGTAGTAAAAGTTTTCATTGTTTAGATGAATTAAAAAAAAATTGCTTTTGAAGGGCCTCATATAAAATCTCATTAATTATTTTTACGTAATTTTTACTTTAATTGTTAAGAAGATTACAAAAGATAATAATAGTTTTGTTTGATTTTGAGGCTTGAATCAAAAGACTTTATTTTTCGAAGTAAGGAAATTATTATGTTTGGTAAATGATATGATAAAACAAATTCATATTTTCCCAAAAAAAATACAGAAATAATTTTGTCATTAACGCTATAACCAGATTTAAGTAGCTTGAAATGAGGGCAAACTTAATTCTAAATAATTTTTAAATTGTAGTTACATATGAAAATAATTTTAAGTTTCTTATGAAACAAAAACTTTTAAGAAAAAACGAACAATTCCATGAGAAATCTTTCAAGGCACTTAAAAACTAAATCTTCAAAAATGATTTATACATGAGCATTGAGGATGAAGCAATCATGAATGAATGTGATCCCTCAGCACAGCAGCTGCAACTGTCTTCAACGATGCACATGCCTTGAGCAGATCAGATTCTGAGTGGGCAGCAGACACAAACAGTCTAATTCCCACAGGCAGAGGGCACTTATCAAGAGTTGATCTTTTTGAAACTGCTACAAATACGGACTCTTCTCTCAAGGCCTGTAATTCATGAATGTTTCAAATCGTGAGATGGAACTCAATACAGGCATCTATCAAACATCAACCACAAGCGGACTCTAACAAGATGAAGCAAAAGAATGGTGTACTCACACGATCAGCAATGTCCTCAAGGAGCTGGAGGTCACTTTTCAGTGAACCTGTTGATTTTTCAAGTCGAAGGAAAATGATGGGTGACTCCGGATTGCTTGCTATCGACAGCCCCTGCATACCTGAGAGTCCTGTATTTTTGCAACAAGTTCGGAACCAGAAGTGGTTTGATTGGTCAGTTTCACAATAATCACCAAAATCATGTCAGCACAGTATCAGCTATTATCTACCACCAAAGAAAGGCGTGTACAACAAAATGTATGATGTTTGTATCAGGAAGTCTTGCATGACATCTAATACACCAAGAAATAAATCACCAAAGTGCTTTCTAATCTAATTTTGGCATGTTGCATAGGTTAATGAGAAATTCAAGAAATAAATCACAATAATCACCAAGATATAAGTTTGCACCTATATCTTAAATTATGTGAAATTCAAGGCACTTTAATTTTCTTCTAACAAGAAACAAGCATCAAATCTTTGATTTGCCTAATAGGCCTAAAACATTTGCTATGTCCCGCACATTATATACTCAAGACCCATTACACCAAAGGAAACAAGAAAACCACAGTAGGAATTATACCATAAATCCTACTCAAAAGCCCGGTGTATACCATGTATGTAGCTATCCTACATCGAGCAGGTTACGATCTCTACATTTTTTATCCAATAAAACTAAATTTTGAGAACCCTTTGTTTACAGAAATTTCATGAGACCATGATATATGAACAAAGTATGCAATTAATAGTGCATTAGTTACTAGGCTTGGTGTATTCAGTTTTGCCATTTTAGGCAGTAAGGATATTTATCAAATATTACATTCAGAACAGGCCATTTTTGTAGGAGGGAGTAGTGTTATTATATTTAATTGATTCCAAATTGAACTATCAATATCAGTAACTTGGACTGTAACACGTAATAATGCAGCTTGTAATGTGTGCATGCATTTTTGTAGTGTTATGGAGGGGGAATTATTAGATTAGAATTTAAAAGTCCTGTTTTTTCTGGTGATTGGCTACAATTTTCAAACAAACCCTATGGCTTCACATCCTTTCCACCTTTTCATCTCTTGATTATCCATTCTCCACAATTAGATACAAAATTCTAAGGTCTAGAGGTCATATTCTAACAGTTTCATATTTTCAATGATCTAAAACTTTTCTGTAACTGAAGTACCTTCATAGTCCGTGTTGCTATCCTGCTACGATTAAAATTCCTTGGTACTCCAAACTAACATTTCAATGCCTATGAAACCTGCATTTCAAAAATGTTATTTTGCTTACAGACCTTGGAGCACTCACACCTTTTTAATGTACTTTGATTGTCCTAATATTCAATTAGACAGGAACCTTAAAGCCCTGCCTAAGTGTTATGTGATCTTTCTAAACTTAGTTACTCCAAAACTCTGCCCAGTTATCTTACAGAAATCATAGAATCAGATTATTCTAACCAGATTCCTAGTAGCAGCTGATTGCACCAAATCGCCAAGTACTTTTTCATGTCTGATTTTGATTTCAAATTAGCTCTTAGCACACCTTGAGCTTGACCCATGTGTAGATTAGTTGAAATCAGAACATGAGTATCATCACAGAAACAAAAGAAATCCTTAAAACCATATAAAAAACCTAATGGTAAGCTCAAAACCAACCTTTCCATAAAATGGCAATGTTTTCCTTTAGCTTTGATGTCAGGTCAGGATTTTGCTCTAGGACATCAATAGCAGTAATAGCAGCACTAGCTAAATATGGGGGTAAAGATGCAGAAAAGACGTAACCAGAACTGCTCAACCGCTGCCAAAGATCAGAATAACATTAGCCTTTTAGAAGTGAATTAGGAGGGCTGTCGGTTAAAAGTAATGGTTATGACAAGTAAGACTAGGTAGAACTTCCACTGCTCAACACTACTAGAAGGTCATAGTGTAAAGTCTACATACTTGATGATCAATGACCCTAGCACTTCCAGTGCAGAATCCTCCTTCTGTCGCCAATGCATGCCCCATAGCAGCAGTAACAATGTCTATCTTCTCTATCTGCAATACGTGCGACCATTAATAACCAACAGAATCAAAGCAACAATGAAAATGGAACTAAAAAAATTATAAACACACCGGAACCCTGCAGGATTCAGTGAGACCACGTCCTGAATGACCAAGTACACCAAATGAGTTACTCTCATCCAATAAAACACGGAAGCGATACTTCTCTTTCAACCTGATGATCTTGTCCAAAGGAGCTATTTGACCAGAATTCTACATGTTTAACCATGAAAGTGTTGGCTACAGTAAGTGAGATTAGATTTAGGAAAGAAAGATATGTCTAATGACCTGAACCAATCATTACAAGTTATCATCTACTTTGACCCATTGGGCCTCATGGTTTTTCCTCGAAAGGAGGCTCACAAGGTTAGTTCCAAGTCTCTTCATATGTACCAAACCAAAGTCTTTTTACAAAATCTGCTTTAAGATGGGTGTGAAAAAACAATTGCACATCAAGGAAAGTACCAAAGATAGGAAACAGTTAACAAAATCTATAATTGCTCTTATACCTTGAAAGTGTTAAGTGACTTCTATAGATTGAAGATTGCTACTTGTCAGCAATTCCATTTAAGGAAAATAACCAACCAAAAACATATAAAAGTAAGCCATTGAAACAGCAAAAAGGTTGAGACCATTAATTGGTGGTGAAATTAGTAAACTTCAAATAGTGAGAAAACGGTTTTATGGCTTCAGGTGGAACATCTTTCGCATGGAACCTCATATTCCATGACTTCACCAGTTGCAGAATTTGACAGCTAAGGTACTCCTCAACAGGGAAAAAGAAGCTTCCTAAGGAGTACATATAGGTACCATAAATGCATGTGCATGTGGCATGCATGCATGCATGCATATAAAAAATAAAACAAAAAAAAAAAACCTTAGAAACTTAAAAACTCAACTGAAGAAAAGGAAAAAGAATACTGCAATTTGCAAAGTGGAAGATAACCAACTAAACACATAAAAGTAAGCCATTGCAACAGCAAAACAGGTTACGACTGATTATTTATGCAATTACTGGACTTCAAATTGTGAGAAAATGGTTTATGACTTAAAAAATGAAACATGACATTACAACATGCACTTCAGGTGAAACATCTTTCACAAGGAATGTCAATTTCCATGACATCGAATGTGGAAGAATTTGACAGCTAAAGTAATCCTCAACAGGGGGAAAAAAGCTTCCTAATAGAGATGATTTTATGGTGCAAATGATTCCATAAGAGGATCAAAGGATGGTATTTGCTTTTTTGCAAGGATATAAGCCTAAGCAATATTGTTAAGCAAAAAATTTATGTTTTTCACTTAACTAATGATTAATGGAAGCACTCTGCACAACTCACTCATCCTATTTTATTCTAAATTTGATATACCAACAAAAGAGGAGCAAGGTTCAGATGAGAATGTTGTAATGGATATGTAATTATGCTAGGAAGATTATGTCACAAATGAATGCACAAAGTCCATCACATTGACATGCAATGCTAAAAGAATGTCAACTCTATATGCTAGCACCATGCATGTTACTTGTCAGAAACATTTAGAAATAGTCTAATGTTGAAACCCTAAAAAACATTTCTGAAGGAAAATTGCACCATAATGAGGAACTTGAGTGTGATTTTTCACCACTAGACTTATTTATACCAATGACTCATGGGCAGTAATTCAAGGCAAGAACCATATTTATTTGTCAAATCCTACAGACACGGCTATTTATGGACAATGGGGAGGGCATACCAAAAATACAAATCATTAAAGCTTATACGTACATCTGACATAAGATACCTGATACACAGCTTCAACCACAATGTAGCGGCGCAATTTCTTTGCCCGCTGATTCTCTGCTGTAATTTTCTCAAGAGTTTTCTCTAGAGATTCCATATTATTGTGCTTGAAATAAACAATAGTGCTTCTAGAAAGGTAGAGGCCATTTTGTATTCCCCAGTGAACTCCCTCATCCCTGGATAACCAAACACAAGCATAATATTTATAATAATGAGATACAAATCCACACCCGAAATTTTCTAAAAAATATTTTAAAAAAAGCCATAAATTTATGCTAAGATAAGGAAGGCGTGATAATTATTAAAAAAAAAAAAAGCACGGACTGGAATGATCATACAAATATATATACAGACCATCAAAGATCAGAAAAATAACACGAAAACTGAAAAGATGGGACAACAACTCAAGAAGCAATTTGGGCCCCCGAACACAAGCTTTATCCCTTTAAAATTTCAGCTGTTCCATTCTTACCAAATACACAAATCAAACAATGGGCACTAAACCCCAATCTTCATGTGGTTTCCTCCAAACTTCCTTTCCAAGCATACAACAATGTGGTCTACCAGGAATCAGCATACGACACACCAAAAAAAGAAGATACTAATACCACAACTCCCTAGCAACCAAATAATAAAGCAAAAGATGATCCACTTTCTAAGCATTATTCATACACATACAGCACCAATCTTTCTCTTAATGAGATTATCCATTCATGAAGTTTCATGCAAAACTGCTGTTTAATCATATAAAGAAATTTGCCCCAAAAAAAAACACATAAAGGGATTTTTGAAAGCACTTTCCCAACATTCTAAAAAGAAGCACCTCCTTCTAATTGCTTTTCAATGGAAATAAAACACTGCCAATTTTAGAATGAAAGGAAACTGTTAAACATTAATATAAGGGATAAGGTCCAAATTTACCATTCTACTTGGGGTGATGGGTCAAATTTACCAATGTACTTTTTAATTTGGTTCAAAAATGGTGAAAAGTTAATAGTTAAAGAAGATTTCATGAGAAATTAAAAGAAAATTTCACAGAATATTATTTTTTTTTAATCATTTTTTAACCAATTTAGAAAGTCCAATAGTAAATAATTTTAAGAATTTGTTCTATAATCTAAACCGTGCATTAAATTAATTAGTTTAGTGTCAACAATATTGTAAACAGCTGGGCCTCACGTATCAATAGGCACATTGCAAAACATATTATAATTCAGCTTGTGAAAACCATCTAGTAATAAGACGATCAAGCTGTTAATTCATCGAAGAAGCCAGTAGGATACAAGAAACAAATTTCTATTTGCCTTGCATAGGAATTCCAAGTATGTCAATCAATCAATTTTAACTCATGATGCAAACATTGAGAGAGAGAGCATAAAAAGTAAGGAGAAAGATTCCACAAGTTATCCATGCCACAGCTTACCATGTCAAATTCTTCCTAATAGCCATACACATAACCAATTAAAGCAATGAAAAGTCTTTTACTTACACGACAATTATGTCGCCCTTTTTACAAAAGCATGGGATTGCACTGAACATGGTGGAAAGTCCATAAGAATAGAGTATGGAATCAGGTGTTCCCAAAAACTTTGCTATTCTGGCTTCGCAATCAAGGTGGACATCTGAACAACATAAGATTGTAACAATCTGAACCATGCTCTTATAGAAGATTTACAAAGAAACCTCCAAAAGTACACCATTTAAAGTTGCTTCAGAATTGATGCTTACCAATTGTTCCATAGAATCCGCGAGGACCACAAGAACCAACACCATATTTCTCCAATGCAGAGGTACATGATTCCTGAAATAAACATTTTATTTAATGGCTTAGTTAAAAATATCCTCTTGAAAACATAGTCTATCTATAACTTACCCCAATGCTTTAGAACATATATGCTTCTCGAGAAGCCATTTTTTAAATAATGCTCAACACCCTTCATAAACACAATTTAGATGAGATTAATGTATATTCTGAGGAAATATCAAGAGGAAAACGTATGTTTTGAGGAAACCTTGGAGAGGATTGTAATTCTGCTATCTAGCTATAGGGTTTTTGCAATTTATTCTCTGTTCCTTAAACTTCTAAGAAACTAGAAGAATAAATAAATAACAGCAACAGATTCCTCACAAGTAACTTCTTGTGCCCTATAAATCCAAGATAATTTGCAGAAGCAAAGTTGACAACTTCTTTGCCATTGATTATTGTATGGGGCCCTGCAGCACTGCATAAAGATGAATTCATAAGCTAGGACACCTTGGAAAAGAATGTATTTTAAGTATTTTAACTAATATAACAAATCATTAGTTACTAAAATTCTACAAAATTCCCATGCAAATGACACCGTGGAAAAGAATATATTTTAGGTATTTTAACTAATTTAACAAATCATTAGTTACTAAAATTCTACAAAATTCCCATGCAAAAGCATATATCAATAAAGATAACATAAGGAATAATTATATATTTATGATTGCAAATGAAAGAAAATTGGGAAAGCAGGGAAAAAGGAAAATCCACATTGGAAAGAAAATCAATTCAGTTTGGGAGAGAAAAAAATGAAAATAATATTTGAATGAAATACATATCTCACAAATCTTCAAAATGGAGGACAAAAGGAATATAGTTAAGTGGAAAATTATTTTTTGAAGAGTCAAATGCAATGCAAATTATGTAGAGATGACAATTACATTCACCTTTCTAAAACTGGGGGTTCATTCTGCATCTCTTCCGTGATAGGAGGAATAAGAGATTCTGGGACCCATTCATCACATAGCTCATCTATTTCCTACACACATTTAGGAGACATTTCAGATTGTTAGGCTGACACAACATCATCAACATAAAAATGAATAATAAGGAAAACTAAAAAAAAACAAGAACAAGGTTAAAATCCGACTCAAATGCACCATTTAGCTAAGTTAGTATAAAAGTAAAAACGTATATTGGCAGAACACCAAAGCACTTGATCCAACACACACCATCAAACACTTCAGCAGAAAATTTTAAGCTCAAACATAACATTATGTATATGGCTACCCTTGCTACAATCCCATGATGATGTAGACATGCGAACTAGGAACTTTTTTACTTAATAAAATAAAATTTATGGCAGAATGTAAGAAAATTTTTATTCAAGCAAAAAGAATAAAAGGAGGTGAAGCTAGACTGCAGATTACACACGTTAAAGGAGTAAATAATGGCTTGCCAGTATTGGACTGTTCATTATAATCCTTAATGAAATGGGATTGAAAAAGGATATGATTCAAAAAGGTGTCAAACAGTTTTCAATAACGGTAAGGTTTCACATAAGGCAACACAAATCAGACTACAGTCACGAATGAAAATTCTTTTAATCATTAAACATTCTGGTCCAAATAACACAAAGGGACAAATCCTAGCTATGAAGAATTGAATTGAAACATAGGACATTAATGGGTTCTCAGAATTATAACTCCACCACCCACATAAACTTGAAGCAGTATCTACCCAGGGGGGAACAAAAATTGAAATTAGAATTGCAACACAAACCTTCTTAGTTAAAGGTCGCTTAGGAGGCTTGTAACTCTTTTGGGAAAGCAGAAAAAGAATGACCACCAAAAGAAGAAGCTCCACAAATAAATGTCCTATAATCAAAGTTCGAAAAAGTTAATGAACATATTGAGCATGAATAGGAGAAAAGACAGCATCATGTAATTAACATTCAAGAGAGTACCGCCAATGTGGACCCCAAACACTACAGCCCGAGCAGAAGGGGCATCCAAAGCCAAAGTGACCCAATTTAAAGTGGCATTAACTATGTTTAAAACAGCTGATTCCATCACAGTCGGTATGGCCACCATGCAAATAAAAGCATTCAATGAAGAACTTGTTTTGTTCTAAAGCAATGAGGAATAAAGCCCACTGACCCCAACCCTGCAGCCATTAGTAAACAACTTAAATTTGAATTCTTTTATACTTCCAGTAAAAGTAAAAGCAAATGATAGAAAGTAAAATCATAAGTCATTGATTAGAAATGAATAAATGAATAAAATACAACATTAATTCCAACATAATTGCTCTGAAAAAAGACACTTTGATCATGTTTGGTGCATAAGATGACAGATAAGATAGATAATAACCATCCTATACCATGTTTGGTTTGCATTTAAAGAAGGGGATAGGATTACAAGAAGGATTAATCATCCTCTTGGCATAGGATGATTCAATCCTCCCAAAATGGAAAGGATTATTTTTAATCCATCGGGTTGAACTTACATTTAAATTACATGAATAATTTAAATTGTATAAATTTTGAGAAAGGATAATTTTAACCAATAAATAAAATTATCCTATCATAATCTTTGCACACCTTTGCACTAATCAAACACAAGATAGGATTATATTATTTAATATAATCCTATTCATAATATCATCTTACCCTATTTAACATTAAATTCTTCAAATTTATTAACTTAGATATGCAAATTCGCTTTCTCACCAAAAAGCACGTAGAAAATTAACAACCAAACAGCAACTAAGCTAATGAACATAAGCCAACACCATCAATCACACAAATACAAACAGAAAATAAAAGCAGATATTGAAGGATTAATAATAAAATAAAAAATTTTATATTTTTAAATGTTGACATACAGAAGAAAAATAGAGAATTTTTTTAGTTTCCAAGGAATGATCTGTTAATATGTTAAAAAAAAAAAAAAAAACCGAAGAAGAAGAAGAAGAAGAAGAAGATTAGGGGATCAGCCAGATTTGGTTGATCAATAATTGTAAAAATTATTCAACCATGAAGAATCGGGCATAATTTTAATGGGATAATTAAAATGAAAGTCGTAAAAAAGAAAAAAAAAAAAAAGAAAACCTGATGTGGGAACCGATAAGCCTCTTGCTTCAGTTTTATTTTATGGCTTGGCTTTGAAATCAAAATGTTGAAGGCAGCCTAGATGAAGATGAAGAATAGATTTGGACACTTACGGTGCAAATGGGAATGGGAACGTAGGATATGGTCAACCCACGGTCCAAACAAATTTATTTCTCTTTTTGTAAAAAAGGGTAGAAAATATCGTGTTGCTAATTAATTTGACCCTAACATTTAATATAATATAAGGGGTGGTCTATATACATTACAAAATTTTGTTATAATTTTTTAAAAATATTCATATAGTAAATATTAATTTTAAGATTTAATAAATGATAAAAATATTTTCAATAATTTATACACTTATTTTTTTTCTTTTGAATTCAACATGGGAGAATTATATTATATTTTCAAAATTTTATTTTTGAGAATGCAAAAATATTGTCTAAAATAAATTTTTGAGAATGCAATATAATATTGAAAATTCATTTTTAAAAAATACATAAATACATGTAATTTTAAAATAAATAATACATTTAATTTAAATTTAAAGAAAATAAATAAAATAATTTTATTGAGATAATAAAATAAAATAAATACAATCTTAAAATAAATGTGAGAATATTAAAGATAAGTTCTCAAACAAATATGGGTGGGAGAAGTCTAGTAATTGATATGCTCATTCTTATTTAATTATATGTGCGAATGGAAAAAACATTTTAATTCTTAAGCATATATTGACATAAATGTTTTTTTTATCTTAAGACCAAAAAATTAAGAATAGCCTTTTATCCATACAAAATTAGAAAACCAAAAAAATTGCATTCTTGATTTTTTTGAGTCCCAAGAGAAATAAAAAGTTTGTGCCATACATGATTGAAAACATTAATTTTAATTCCATCGATGCACGTAATCAATTAAATGGGTTTATAAGAGCATATATTTTTAATTAAGTCATTTTTGAATAACTTATGAGACATTAATCTACATTATTAAGGTTTTCAATAATTAAAGGTAAGAAATTCATTTTTATAAGTGAAATCGAGCTTTTCAAAAATAAATATTTGAGAAATTTTAAGGATTTCATAAATGAATATCCAAAATTTTTAAAATTTTTTAAAAATCTATTTTCAAAAAGCTTTAAAGATTCTCGAAAATTCATTTTCGAAAAACTTAAAATTCAAAAAGTGAAAAGAGAAGAAGATAGAAAAGGAAATAATGAAAAATAAAAAGTGAAAGATAGAAGTGTATTTAATAAAAATAGAAAATTAAATTTTGAATTTATGATATATTTAAAAGTAAGATGTATGAAACAATAAATGAAGTGCAAATAAAATTTCTCTTAAAATATCTCAAAAAAAAGTTTATTTTAACAATTACATACTTCTATTATCTTTTTGTTATAAAAATTAATTTATAATTGCCCGTGAATTATATCATTTATTGATTTGGCTCTTAAAAGAATTGTAATTAAGTACAAGAACTTCTATTTCATAAAATAATAAAAAAATGTAATTAAGTACGAGTACTTCTATTTCATAAAATAATTTAACTCGAATAATAACTATTTTAACAATAAATTGATGTGATAAAAAATCAATAAAATTATGATACATGATAAAAATAACACATTAGATTTTAAAATTTTAAAATTAAAAAATAAGTAAATTTAAAATTAATAAAAAAGAAAAAGGAAGAATCAAGGAAGATAACAGATAAAAAAAAAAAAAGAGGGAAAAGGGTAAAAAAGATGACAAAAGGGTAGGGAAAGGTCGATCAGCAACAATTATAGTTAAGCCAAAGGCAAATCGATTTGACTCATTTCACAATAGGCGGATCAATATTGGTCTAGCTTTTTTCAATAAAATCAATTACAATGTGTTTGGCCTAAGGCATATCAAGTTAGTCTATCCTTTAAACAATCTATCGATGCCTTACTAGTCTTTTCTTTACCACCCTACCTTGTTCCTATTTTTATCTTTCATTTCTCTTTCTCTTTGACAACCATTTCTTTTTTTTTTTTAATTTTATTTAAAAATGAAAATAATTTTTTTCTTTATTTTAGTTCTTTATTTTTAAAATTTCTTTTTAATTTTTAAAATAAAATTTTTAAGAGAAAACATATTTTTTTTGTTTTAGCTTTTTTTTTAAATAAAACTTTACCAATTTAAAAAAAAAAAAGAATTTTATTTTTTTTCAAATTTTTTTTTTAATTTTTAATAAATTAAAAAAATAACATGATTATTTTCATTGATCAATATATGATACGTCAGTATTTTGACTGACATTGTCATTCAATGGTGCAACTTGCTTAATAAAATGAAAGTAAAAATAATTAATTGTGAATTTAATGAAATGCAAATCTAAATATTTTAAAAAGTTCAAAAAATTTGAAGTCCAACTTGATGAAAAATATAAAGGGAAGAAAGGGTTTACCAAAAATAATTATGATAAAATTGAGGGTAAATCAGACTAACCGACCTCAAACAAGATAGATCGATATTATTTTAATTTTTTCCAATTAAATCGATGTTGATGTACCTGATTTGAGGCAAATAGAATCAATATGTCCTCAAGACAACTTGCCAAGGCCTTCCTCTCCTTCTCTTCCCACCCCATCGTTTTTCTTTCTCTTCTCTTTCCTTTTTCTTTGCTTAATAGCCATTACTCATTTTTTTTTATTTTAAAAAAAGTAATTGTTTAAATTTTTTTCTTTGTTTTTCTACTTTTAAAATTTCTTTTATTTTTTAATTTTATAAATAAAATTTTATTTTTCTTTTATTTTTTGGAAAAAATAATTTTTATTTTTCATTTTTGTATTCTTTATTTTTTAAAAATGTTTTTTCTTTTTAATGTTTTAAAATAAATAACATGAGATATTTTTATTGGTCAATATTTGTTATATCCACATTTTGACTAATATAATTATTAAACGATGTAAAATTGCTTGACAAAATAAATATGGACGTATTTGATTGCGAATTTTTTAAAAATATCAAATCAACAAAAAATGGTATAGTAAAAATTGAGGGGTCGTTTGGTATTATTGTGTGTTTTATATTTTATGTTTTTGAATATTTTATTTTATTTTATTTTTAATTAATTGAATTTGAAAATAAAAACATTTAAAGGAAGTGGTTAAAGTTTTTAAGCTCAATTTGTTATTAATAATATAATAATATTTATTTTGTAATACAATAATATTTATTTATTAATATATTATTTATAAATATTATATTAATAAATAATATGTTATTTATTAATACATTATTAATTATTTATTTAATAAATATAATAATATTTATTAATATAATATTTATATAATAAAAATAATATTTTATTAATATAATAATTATAGCGTCACTATAATAGTTTAATTGTAATTTCTATGATGCATGCGTGATAATAGTGCTAAATTATTTTTAAAAAACTCAAAACATCATTTTTCTGATTTCAATAATTTCTAACATTTTTCAAAACTTTGTTTTCAGTTTTCAAAAACAGAAAACAAAAATAACTTACCAAACCTGTTTTTGTTTTCAATTTTCAGAAAAACTAAAAACAAAAACAAAAACTAGAGAATGGAAACAAAAACAAATGAATCTTATGATCAAATTACACTTTTACTCTATAAAGATATACAAAAAGTACTATCATATATTATATATAATATTTTATTACATGATACTTATTTACCTAATAAAATTTGCTTCTATGAACGCTTAGATGTAGAGCTTATTTATTTAACACATAAGGTAATTCTAATTTTTATGTTATTTATCAATTAAATTAAATAAATGCATTTAAAATAATTATTAATTATCTAAAAATAAATTATTTGATATACTATTAATGAAATTTTTTAACTTTACAAGTAGAATTAATGAGGTTACAAATGTCACACTTTTTTTTAAAATTATTTTTTTATTTTAAAAATATACACTAAAAAATATATGTCACCTTATTAATCCTGTTTATGGAGTGAAAAAACTTCATTGTCAATATATTTGATAATTTTTTTTATCTAAAACTTTATTATGTTTTAAATCAATTATTGATCTAATTTTATAATTTACAAATAGAGGTATCAAATAAGCCGGCGGCCTATAGCTTATTGTTAAGTAATTGGGCTGGGCCGAGCACGGCATATATACAGGTGTCTTGCTAAGTTAAAAAATTTTAGACTCATTAGTCATTATGACGTGACCTATTAAGAGTCAATGCCATCAAGAGGCATGTATGCTAGTATAGCACAGTATACAAACCCCAAAGCCAAATTAACTAGCATGATACGATGCACAAATCCAAATGAATTTTATTCATATTTTTAATTTAGTGATGAAATTATTCTTGCTTTTGATATTTTATTGATAATTTATAAAAATAAAATTACATTAAATAAATCTCTTATGAAATATTTAAATTATTGTTAGATGAATTTATAATCCTTTCATTTTAAACACAAAATGAAATCTCACTTCTTATATAAAAAAAAAAAAAAACCTTTTCATGAAAGCTACATTACTAGTAAATTAGAACTCATTAAAAAATAAACTATTACAAGCAAAAAAAAAAATTTTTTTTTGCTACTTGATCTAATAGTAGTAAAAATAACTAAGATATCTTTGATAAATCAAAATGAGAGCAAATACTATCACAATGTATATGTTATTTAAAATTGGTTAGACGAAAAAATTTGAGCACAATATATAAGTAAATTATCATATGATGAAAATAAGAAATAGAATAAGAGTCTTGTATCTTATAATTTCTTTTTTGTATGTTTTGAAATATTAGTATTGTAAATTTTAATATTTTTATATAGTGGATTCTATTATCCCTTCTTGTATATAAAGACATTTTGCATGATCATGTAAATTATTTGTCCTTTTTATTTCATTATATTTTTAATTATCTTACATGATATTTTTAATAATAGATGATAGATGAAAAAAATTTAAAAAATAATAAAAATTTTGAAAAAATATTAATGAATTGTACTTGACACAGCTCGACACAAAAAATAATATTATGCCTAGCATGGCATTACCCATGAGAATTAGAGGTTATATACTATACTGAACCATACCCTTAATTTTTATAGGTCGTACCAACATGATTCGTTAAAAAATAATATTAGACTGGCACGATCTATTAACATATAAATTGATATTTTAAATAAATTGTGATAGCACGACAGAGTCAATTTGACACCTCTGTTCCTTAAATTTCAAAATAAAATTTTAAAATTTTAAAATCTCAAAAAGATATTTTTATCTTAATACAATTCCTCATAATCTTTTATTTTTTAAATTCTTTAAAATTTAAAATCATAATATCACTTATTATTTTTTTTAAATTTGAAATATATTTATTAATTTAAATTAAATAAAATTATTTCAAAACTCATTCTTTTCAAATTATAAAAAATATAATAAAAAATGGGTTAAAAAAAGCTAGTTTCGTATATGAGTAATATATTTTTAAAATTAAATTCCATGAGCAAATTTATGTAATTGATCACAAGTGCTCATTTTACAATCATGTTAATTTATTAATTTTCTTAGTTATTATCTAATAGATTTTTGTCAACTTTGTAAATTTGTATGCATATTTTAAGCCTTCCATCGTATAAAATAAAATTTTTATATTTATTTTATGCAAAAAGTTTTTAAAAGCTCTTGAAATAAAATTTAATAATCATCTAAATTATTATTATTATTATTATTATTATTTTGCAATTAATTAAATTTCAAACATCTATTTTCTTCAATTGAATCATTATTAGAGGAAAAATGTTTACCTATTTTTATCCATTCTAGAAATTAATTAAGTGAAATAAAAGTGTAAAAGTTTAAGTGGATAAAAAATGTTTAAGGGTTCAATTGATTTGAAATAAAAAATTTAGAGTTTAATTGATTATAATAAAATATCAATAACTTAAATGATTATTAAATTTTGATTTGAGTGCTTTTTTACCCTTATGCCTTTAATTTATTTTTATACTAACAATTCCTTTTCGGTGAGATTATTGATGTTAGATTATTCAACATTGTTAAAATACTAAAAAAGGTTTTTGCACTTTTTAAAATTTCTCAAATAATTCTTTATTGTTCAATTGACTTAATACAACTTTTAAAATATTATTTTTATTTAATTAAACTCTTATTTTGCATGAAAATCATTAAAATCTATTAGACAAATAAGAAATTAATTAAAAAAATAATATTTTAAGAATTTAATCAGACAATAGTAATAATATTTTAAGGGTTTAATTATATACAATAAAAAGATAGGGACTTATTTAAAAACTTTAAAAAATTATAAAACTTTTTTAGTATTTTAGCCATTCAACATCAAAGTATAGAATATGTTTCCTTTGTTTGCCTGTTTCATTAACTGGTACTAAAAGGAACTTCAAGAAATTGAATTTGCTTGCTTACAATATGCAACAACTCTGTCTTCTTCACATGAAATAGATGTAATAAATAGGATGGTTTTACTAAGAATAACAAGCTGAAGTAGAACAACAAAATATAATGGTTATCGAAAAATCCCAGCGATATCAATGTCACAAACTTCTTTTCACAAACTGTGTAACTGTAACAGTCTAAGAATTCACATTAAGTTTGAGGTGTAATATTCAACATTTATAAGAATGGTTGATTCATAGAATACAATATGCACTTCTTTATGAAACAGGGTAACGACAACTTTACCCGATGAAGTTGCCGAGGAATGCAGAAGGCGTTGAGTGGAGGTAAACACTCGTGTTCATATGCGCGAATTGGTTGCCTGATCCAGGAGGATATACTCTTCGTCTTTGGGGATCAATAATCCATGATATACATTTGGAAGACTAGTAACCTAGCCATGCAGACGGTATTGGTTGAAACTCATTCTTTGCCATTGCCAGTAGATCATAGTAATCTGCATGATTGACGCAGTCACGAAAATCGGTGAAAAGCTTCTCGAACACCCTCCATTGGACTTTGATTGATCTAGAGTATGGGAATGGAAGAAAAACCTGCAGAAGATGAATGAAGCATCAGAAAAAATAGCTCACCTGCATCTTGTTGCTAAAATGTTGGGAAACTGATGAAATTTCCAAAATATTTTTACTATCAAAAGATCTTTTAACCCCTGCTGCAGACATTATATCATCATCAAACTTTTCCTCCCATCTTTCCCAAGTTCTTTCTTAGTGACATACACAGAAGTTATGATGTAAAAAAGCAAGTTTGGTGCCGTGAATAGGGTCAGTCTTTCTAATTTATTCAATCTGCAATTTCTTTTTGCTACGTGTGCATGTGCAAGTGTCACGGACCTAAGGGGAGTCCTGAATCCCACATCGAACATAATAGGAGGGTCACTGGGGTATAAAAGGGTTCACACCATCTCCGCCTTGGGAGGCGCCTTTTGTAAGACAAAACCATGAGGCCAGGGAGGCCAGAGCGGACAATACCTCATAAGGGTGTGAACCGTGGCGGTCAGGCTGATCCGGGACGCCGGAAGGGTGAATGCCCGGGTCCCGGAGCAGCGCGGGTTCGGAGCTTGAGTCTCGACCCGTGACACAAGCACTCACACACACATCCTATATACACATAAAAACACAAATGGGCACCGTATGGCAACTTACGTCCCCCTCCAGAGCAAGACGCTTAAGTAAAAGAAATGTGTGCTGATTTTCTTCCAAATTGTCAAGAACTGCCAACCAAATCTGTGAAGCAAGCTCATGGGTGACGTCTCTTGATTTACCGCAAGCAATAAACTGATCTGCTAAAATGAAGGAAAAATGAGGAGGTAGTAAAGGAATCATTTTTTGTCATTCCAGAAAGAATATATATATTGGTGCTAGCTACGATCATTAACATGATGAGATAAGATGCCAAATATCATAGCAGTCTAAAACAAAATTTGCAGTTTCAAGGCTGGATTATCAGATACCAGAAACTTGAATGCATTAGCAGATTTTAAGCAGAAATACTTTTAAAGTACCTCATCAAAACTCACCGACATCACAAGAGATAGACATTCAAGATGCATTTATCATGAATATATGGTACAACATTTTTCTTACCATGAAAAGGAAAGGGATTAAGCATGGCAACAAAAGAAGTATCAAGTGATAAAGCATGCTAAATTATTATTATTATTATTATTATTATCATACAACCGTTAGTTAAAATGGAACAAGAATAAAAAATATCGAGACATTTATAGAGGATGAATATGAAAGCAGAAATTTAAGAAAAATGAATCATCAATAGAAAAGAAATCTATATCACCTTCCATCCTTATATGAGGAATTAGACATCCATTTATTGAAACTTAAAATCTTGTAGGCACAAAAACTGGAAGAGGATAGAAGCCATACCAATTATGGTTCCATGGAGTATCCCAGAATGAGGTGGCATAGTTGAAAGTTCAAGCTGCTCTTTCAAAAATAAATATGTATGGCCCACAATCTCATCTATCTCATCGTCTAGTGCAAAGATGTGTTTACTTACATATAAAGCAGCAAATCTCCTGAACATTAGGCAATAATCAAGTTAAACTTAACAACTAGGGTGAGAAGGAGACATTTTTGAATTGCTGTAAGAAGCAGTTCATTTTAATGTTATTAGAACACAAAACTGATCTTGTGATGTTCAAAAGAAGATCACAGTTGCACAAGTAAATTAACCTTGAATGTTTACAAAAATATTATCCTTGTTCGATGGCCAAATTATTTAAATGCATCTACAAAAAATTTATACTAAAGATAATCTTCTAGAAAGAAAATAAATCTTTGAAGCCAATCACACAATGCAATAATTTCTATCCGAGGAAAAAAAACATACAAGCAATATCATCCGATTGATATCATTTGCTCAGAGCTTCTACCTTAAACAGAAAAAGAAGAATGAAGACAGTAGTTGCTCAAAAAATATATATATAACAACTACGTAGTCAGCTCAGTCCATATTTCCTTCAGGATCTCAGTTGCCGTATCAAATCATTTGCAAAACATAGGCTCAAGCATAAGTGAGGCTGCCATGTTCCTGGCTTAAAAAAGGAACAAACTCTAGATGTAAAACTGCATTTTTTAATTGCTCTAAATTTTTTTTGGATAAATCAGATTTGAATTCATCCAAAGAAGTAGGCAAGCCTACTAAACAAGCTGCATTGCTCTAAATTGTTATGAACTCTTGGCCCAAAAAAAATGTTATGAACTCTATCACTTGAAGCAACCAGCAGAGGTTTATGAAAGACATCAAGGAATAGAAACTAGGTCTAAACCACACGTAATTTTTCAATCTTGAAGTTAAATTGCAGAAATGGTATATTCCTAAGAAGGCAGTCAGTTGTCTACAACAATTTGGACAACCAAGCCTTGTTAACTATAAACCAGAAAGTGGGAAAAAATAAGTTTCATTGAACAATCGCCTAATATGTAGTACCAGAATGCAAGGAATCACTAAACTTAGTTGAAATTGGGGGGAGGGGGGGGGGGGGGGGAAGGTAACAGGAGGAGGAGAAGTGAAGAGAAAGAATAATTAAGCAAGAAAAGCTGTTATTGTTAGTCCATTCAACCTTTTGCTTAGTTCTCGAGGAATAGGTCCAGGCCACCTTTTATCTTGGCTAGCCAAAGGAAATGTCCTCACTAAAGCAGCTTGCCACAAGCATTCTCCATGAAACAAGTTGGCCCACTGTTTTTTGACACAAGATACTTTTGCCCACTCTAAAACTGGCACTCTGATGAAAATTTCAATTAGGAGATGATCAGGAAGCTTTCCAAACGAATTATCGGTTGATGTTAAATTGTCATTATCCCTATTATCTGTCATTACAGTTCTGCAAAGCAAAAGCCAACTCCTGGAGATTAATTTTCTGAAACGAAAAAGTAGGAAAAAGGACAGCAAATGAAATGGAATATTCTTCATGGATACAATTTCTGCTGAAAGTCAGAAGGCAGAAAAACATTATTCTTGAGACAGGAAAATTAACATCATGGCAATATAAGATTTTGATACCATAGAAAGTAGAGCCCCCCATATTAATTTTAATAAAACCACGTTAAGATTTTCCCAAAAGAAGTTAATAAAAAAAAAAAGAAGGTGATGAGATTAAAGATTAGAGAACAAGGATACTCAAAAAACCCTCCAAAACTAGTAAGACCAAGATTAACTTATGAGAGCTTTACACAAACCCATACCCCAGTAAAAGAAAAAATAAAAGAAGATATTTATGCTAAATATTCATTCAAAGTGTTTATGGTAAAACTATCTACCATAAGCAATCAAAAACTTGACTAAAATATTCTTCTTTTTAACAGCCAATTCAAGAAACACCACAGTCGCATCTATACCAGGGCCGGAAAGGCAAAATACAGCCTCAAGCAACAGTGTAGGAAGCACTAAGATGCAAGTGCCACAGATTCTAAACCAACATCTCCGATTAGGAGATCTTAACATAACTGAATCCATTATAGTGAAATAAGCTCCACTCATCAGAGTTTATTTGAATAAACTGGCCAATAAGCATGTTGCCTAAAACAAGTCTAGTAATTTCTAGCAAATCTGATGTGTCCATTCTATTTCTCATAGCATTTGAAGGAAAAATTGACAAGAATATCAGAATTCATTCTATGATGGGTCTGATAATTGATAATGAAGCAATGCAACAGAAACTGTATTGGTGTCAATTTCATTAACATTCTACAAGAAACAACTAAAAGGAGAAGCAAATTATGAAATTTGGAGTAACTAAGAAAAAAGCGACATGTGATTAATAGGTATATTATATATGAATAAATTGAAGCAGAAATGAATCAATTTCATGAATATAGAGATGAAACAAATTGATTAAAATATGACAAAGTTGTTTGTTATAATCTGAAAGCATTCTGGTTAGAACAATGAAATATAAAATGAAATTGGTATGAGCTTGAATAATACCGAATTCAAAATTCCTATTAATTTAGGGTAGACAAAACAATCAAATTCAAGTTGTCTTTCTATAAAAAAAAAAATCACATCAATATTCAAAAAGAAATACAAAATCAGTCCATCCCATAACAGAAAGTGTTAATGGAGGCAAAAAAAATAAAAAAATAAAAAAGAAATTAACACAAACTCCATAGTACTGAAAACAATTTTGTAGAGAAAATGAAACCCAGAAAAACCCTTTAACAACTAGGCTGAATTATGATTAAAAAAACCCACCTTTTGTTTGATCATTGCGAATTCAAAACCAAATTCAGCCCCACAACCATATATATTACACTTTAAGCTCACCAACAAAAGAAAAAGAAATTAAAGAAAATTAAAAATTATAATAATGATGAAATGGAAGTAGAATGAAGAATGGGGTGTTCATTTCAATACATTAAGTAAGAAGATTATCGAACCAAACATAAAACAAAGTGTATAACACTTGTCAGACAAAAGAATTGCATTGCATGAGATGAAAAATGAAAATAAAAAAAAAGATTACCTGGGTTTTTCTTGTTTTTCACTTTTCTTCAAGTCTTCAGCTGCAAAAGGTAGAACTTTGAAGAGATAGAGACAGAGTAGCTGAGGACTGAGGCCTTTGTTTTTGTTGTCCGAGAGGGCAACAAGGGTATGAAAAAATAAAATAATTTATATAAAAAGAAGAATTTAAATAAAGAAGCGATGTCGTTTTAGATTGCCGGGTATGTTAACGTTGATTTCCTTGTGCAGCAGGCATCCAACTTTTCTAGTTGCCTGTTCCCGTGAGAATACCAGAAAAAACCATGAATATTGTACGTACAAAAACATCTAAAGCCATTAGCTTTCTTAACCAAACCCAACTCGGAGGCATCAAATCTATGTGCAGCAGAGGTGAACTTAAACAAGATTCCAAATTGATTCAATTAAATTCTTCTTTTTACAAGAAAATTTTGCAGCTTTGCATCAATTCTAAAGCCAAAAGGCAAGGTCTTTTAGTTCACAGCCAACTTTTAGAAAATGGGTATTTTTCAAATGTCCATTTAGCTACCAAATTAATCATTTTTTACGTTAAATTTGGTGACATGTTGGCTGCAAAGAAAGTGTTTGATAAAATGGTTGAAAGAACTGTTGTGTCGTGGACAGCTATGATTTCAGGGTATTCCCAAAATGGGTTTTTCAAGAATGCTCTGTTGGTATTTTCGGGGATGCGAAAAGCGGGTTTTAAGGGTAATCAGTTTAGTTATGGGAGTGCATTGAAAGCTTGTACTGGGTTGAGGTGTTTGGAAAGAGGGTTGCAAATTCAAGGGTGTATTGAGAAAGGGAGGTTTGTTGGGAACTTGTTTGTGCAGAGTGGGTTACTTGATTTGCACGCAAAGTGTGGAAACATGGAGGATGCTAATCGGTTGTTTAATGGAATGGGAGAAAGGGATTTGGTTTCTTGGAATGTGATGATTGGTGGATTTGCTCTTCTGGGATTTGCTGACAATGCATTTCAGTTGCTTCAAGAAATGATGAGAGAAGGTTGGCTTTCATTGCTCGTTTTTATGATACAAAAATGTACTTGTTATATACAATTACCATGTTTTGTTTTGCTTATTTGGATTCTTTTTTATCATAATATTAATCTTGATGCAGAAGCTATTTTAATGTTAAATAATTGGTTTAAAAGAAAGAGAAGGGGGGTGGGGGGCATAAATTTAATGGAGAGAAATAACTGCAATATATAGAAACTAATCCGGGCTTAGAAGGAGCACTTGTTCCTTAAATATATCAAATTTATAGAAAAAGTCTGAAAGTTCCTACACATATCTTAATAACTACTAAATCTTGTTATCTCCATTAGTATATTGTTGATATTATTCACAATTTATGGTTTTCCCGTAAGCAATTGTCTGATTTTGGCATCTCCTTGTTGCATAATCCGATTCCACTTTCAATTGACATTAAAAAAATGACTCTGATTCTGAAACACTCTAATTCTATAGGAAAGATCCCTGATTGCTTCACCTTGGGCAGTGTTTTGAGAGTCTCGGTCGGAGGTGTTGGTCTCATGATGGTCAGCCAAGTACATGGACTGATCAACCGGCTAGGGTTTGAATCATATAATGTGTTGGCTGGATCACTAGTTGATGCTTATTCTAAATGTGGAAGTCTGCAGTGTGCTTCTAAGTTATATAGATATATGCCAGCCAAAGATGTTATATCCTGCACGGCCTTGATCACTAGCTTTGCACGTGAAGGCAAGCATGATAGGGATGCATTGGATCTCTTTAAAGAAATAAAATCAATGCAAATGGGAATGGACAATATGATACTGTGCTCTGTTCTTAACATATCTGCTAATGTAGCGGAACTGAGCTTGGGAAGACAGATCCATGCTTTTTCTTTGAAATGTCAACCCTCTAATGATGTGGCAATGGGCAATGCTCTAATTGACATGTATGCAAAATCTGGGGAAATAAAAGATGCTAACAAAGTATTTAATGAAATGGATGAGAGAAATGTGATTTCATGGACATCACTTATTGCTGGATATGGAAAGCATGGCTATGGACACGAGGCAATTGCATTATATGAGAAAATGGAGCATGAAGGGATGAAACCAAACGATGTAACTTTTTTGTCCCTTCTCTTTGCTTGTAGCCATACTGGGTTGATTAATAAAGGATCAGAATTGTTTAATGCAATGGTTAGCAAATACAAGATATTGCCCCGAGCTGAGCATCTTTCCTGCATGGTGGATCTTTTTGCACGTGGAGGTCATTTAGAAGCTGCATATAATCTGATACATGCGATGAATATTGAGCCTACCACATCACTTTGGGGTGCCATTCTTGGGGCTAGTAACATCTATGGCAACATTTATATAGGAGAAGCAGCAGCTACACACCTTTTTAATATAGATCCAGAGAAGTCAGTTAATTACATTGCCTTAGCTGGCATATATGTGGGAGCTGGTGCATGGGAAAATGCTTGGGAGACACGTAAATTAATGGATGAAAGAAGTGCTGTAAAGGATCCAGGATACAGCTTTCTGAGCTCTACAAAGAAGGAAATGGTTCTTTTGAAGGCACATTGAAATAGTCATGTTGTCTTATTATATTGTTAATGTGGGAGATACATCTGTATTTACAAATTACAAGAACTTTTTAGACACTTAAATTTATGTTGATGGTACAGAAGAGTTGGAGTATCGATTTTGTTTATTTTCATTTTTCTCAAAGGACATCAATCTGGTTGACTAATGTCCTTCTGATGCTGCATAGCGTCTCAACATCATGGTATTTACTCTAACTGGAGCTCTATGGTCAGGTATTTTCTTGTCCACACTGATTTCAAACAAGTATTAACTATAGTGTGCTAATATATGTGCATGTAGATGTGTGTTATGCAATTAGCTATGTACATTGATAACTGTTGGGATGTATGAGCATACAGTTGAGGTTGGTTTGTCTACGCAAAATATCTGCAGGCATTTTTTACCTTGAGGAAATGAGGGATGAGGATTAAGAGCTTAAGCCTTCAAGTGGAAGTTTTATCTTAAGTCGATGGTTTTAAGTGAACACTGTGATAGATTATTGTGTCCTATGAACTCGAGGTCAACTTTGGTTATAAGTGGGCCTAACCAGCCAGTTCAATCCGGTAGATAGGTTACAGCCTTTTAGTGTACATTAACCGTGGTTGAAGATGAAAGTCAAATTGGAGGTTTATTAGTTGTTTCCTGACTGAAACCTGATGAAATGAGGGGTTCTATATGTGTTTATTTATATTGCATATTTGAAAATGTGGCTTCTTGTATGTATACCCCCTGAGATGTCAAATATGCATCCAATTCTCACTTTATACATTCTATATAACTTCCCTTTTGGTTTAGTTGTTTTCTTGTCTTAAACTATGTGCCAACTGGGTTAATGGTCAAATGAGTGGTCTAGGGACTCTATACATATTTCTATTTGTAATGAATTAACTAATCTGTAATTAACTGCTGTGATTTTTCTATGATTTTAGTGTATTTCCTCCCTCTTGCTGTTGTCATAATCATTCATGGCGTTCAATATTACAGGCTTAGCTTGTCTTGTTTGATGGAATATCTTTGACATGCACCAAGCTCATAATTAAACAAACTCAAGCTGGGGATGTCATTGAGGAAAAAGTTCCTATCTGTCTCTTTGCATAAGGAGACAAAAACAACAGTGTCAAAATTCTCTTACTTGAAATCATTTTTGTGTTATTTTAGACCAGCATTACCTCTAAGATAATTTGTCAAAATTTAAGTATTATTTTCCCACAAATTAGAAGGTTAGGTTGACTTTTTGTGGTTTCTTGACCCAATGCTAGTATGTTTTGTTGCTGAGCTCTGTCATCGGCTTTTCTTTCTGTAATAAAATATTTGGAAGTCGCCTTAATCACCACACAACCTTGATCGTTTTTGAACATTTTACTAAGCTTTATTGTCTTCCTTGACTACATAAACTGAAGGAAAATACTTTAGTGCATCTGAGCTGTAGCTTCCCCCCCCCCCCCCCTTTTTTTAAATACAAGAAACTTTTCTGTTGGAAACATATAAATCCGTCTAATATTCCTTACTTTTAAAAGCAATTCATAGAAGCATGATAATAAAAAATAATTACTTGTTTAGATGCAATAGCTTTGGTTTATCTTGATTTTTAGGATAATAGCTGATATTTTTCTTGCCTCTGCAAACAAGACATAAGTTGGAATTCCAAGCAAAGCAACTTCAGGCATAAATTTAAGCCCAAAGAAAATTTGGAACTACCACAAATTGAGGTGTAGACTGTGATACAGCAACTACTTCTAGCATTGTAAATTATTTTTAACCAGATTGTTTGAGAAATTCAACTAGTAACGTTTGATCGGTCATGTTTTCCTCAATTGGATGATGCTTGGAGTATCAAAGTATCAACTTGGATGGTAAGTTGGTAATGCAAGATGAGCACATCTTACTCAAAGTGATGTACCTTTTTGGCTTTTTGCTTTTTTTCTTTTAAGGATGTACAAGGAAATTGAAGAAGCTGTTCTTTTTATTGTTCTTTTCTTGTTCTTTTTATGTGGACTGATGTGACTGAGGAGAAATGGCACTGATTTAATTTGCAAGGGAAGAGATTTTCATTAGGTGGAAGAGGATAACGGTCACTGCTTGTTTTTAGTGAATTACAAGCAATCCTTATTCTGGGACAAGAGAGTTACAATCAGCTAACTTCACAAGTTAAGGGCATCAAAATTTTCTTATGTCTATTCTACAGGTCTTAAAAGAAAGCATAAACTGGATCATATCACAACAAAATTAGAAACAAAAAAATGTCACAATCAAAAGTGCTTGGCTGGCAGGCCTGGTTTAGGGGCTTCTTGCTGCTTCTTTTTTGTGGACAAGTAGAAAAGGCATGGCTTTATCTATGGTTGTTATGACTTTTGAGATAGAGATTTGGGACTAACTATCTGCTCTTTCATTTCTAGGTTTATTTTGTGAATCATGTGAATGCTCCAGGAGCATCTGCCCTTTGAAACATATTTTTTTGTCTTTCATGTGCTTGGAGGGAACTGCTAAGGAGGTGTTTTATAAATGAAAGGACACAAAGGGCTGAAGACATGTTGAACTTTACTAATCACAACATCAGACATTCAGTAAGTAAGATGACAAGAGCTGCATTTGCTGCTACAGTTTACAGAATTTGGATTGTGTAGATGTTTACTTTTGGCTACTAATATTCTTAAGCGAGCACGCAGCGCGGCTTGCGGGCAGCGCTGTGAGCTCCAGCACTCCAGCTAAAAAGTGTACATACTATGCATCTAACCATGAGATGATTAAAGTTCTTGTATGGGAAAGAGTTTCCTGAAACGATTAGCACTGTTGTGAGGTTGTATCTCCTTTTTTTTTTGTTCCTTTGTTTTGTTACAAAGTGTACATAAAATTCTGCAGGTTAAGTTTCAACATAAACTGAGAATGTTATAAAAAGTCTGCTCCTGACTGCTAGAAGCTTAATGCCAATATATCATTCATTTAAAACAGGTATGATAGATTTACAGGGGCATCATCGGGAACAAAGTTATTTCTGAAAAGAACCATGTTGCTGTAACCTGTAATGGTTTATGTTTGATAAATTGAATTGGCAGCTGTTAATTATTGCTGGAAAGGAAATAACCAAGATCACCATTCACCAATGATTTTTTTTTTATAAAGAAAGGGTACTTTAAAAGCATGCAAGATTTGAACTACAAATTTGAATGGATGCTACGAGTGGCTGTGTGATTCAGATAAGTTAAAACTTCCCCAACAGCTTTGGCATTGCAAGAAGTGGTAAAAAAACGCAAGCTGTATTGTGCTGTTGTTATTAAAAAGCTACTAATAATCTCTTATATCCTCATAAATTGTAAAAATACAACTAATTCTTGTTGGTGTGAACTGTTACAAAGACCAAAACTACAATCCAAAGAGAGAAGACACTACAAGCATCTTCTACGGTTGATAAGTACCTTGTTCAACAGAGCTTGACGACCAGGAAATGGGTTGTAAATCTTTACCGTCTGATCTTTATCAACCCCTTGACTCCTTTCCAACCTGACACCACCATCACTCTTCTGCTTATTCTCCAACTTCTCATCTTCTTTCTTCAACCTTGCTCTCTCCCTCCTCTCCCTCCTTGTCTCTCCCAAAACCCCATCTCCAGGTTTCACTCTCTTCACTTGTTTCTCTTCTCTTCTTCCATTCTTGCTTTCACCATCATTATCCAAATTTCTTGGTATCCTGCCTCCTTTACTGGTCCCAAGAAGCTCAAAGTTAATCTTACTCCATCCAGCTTTATCTTCATTATCCCAACCAAATCTTTCACTTATCTCCAACAACATAGACACTGCAGTTTCATCACTTGACAACAAAGAGTCATTTGTTGTTACTTTTGCATTGTTTCCATGCAAAATGTTCTCAACATATTCCCACTCAATTCTGTCCTGGTAAAATGGGTCTTGAAGCACTTGGTCAGCTAGCTTTGCCCACAGTTCAAAGTCACGGGCGCGAAGGTTTTCGGAAACCCATCTGAGATAGTTTGAAGGGAGGGTGCCTAGCATCTTGCCTTTGTGTTTGCCAAAGTCTATGACTATGTCTCTTGCTGGAATTGTTTTGGACATGGGAGGTGAAACTGATGTGGCTCTTTTGGGTTTGAAAGAAGAGGAGCGCCTAAGACATAGAGTTATTGGGGTTGAAGAAGGAGCATTGAAAAGTAGGAAAGCCATGGATTGAGATTCAGATTGAGATATGAGATTGAGGTTCAAATTTCAAAATATTTGAAGCAACAGCAGAAACGCTATGGCGGTGACGATAGAGATAAAAGAACAGACACCACTAGCAGAAAGAAGAAAATGCCAAAAATTGAATACTTACACTTAATATCTTGGGCGACATAAAAGGAATGGGTTAAATTTGCTAATAATATATTAATTATAGGAAAATATTTAATGTGATATTTATATTTTAAAATTTTTAATGTGTTTATTAAATTATTTTTTAAAATTACATTTGTAATATCTAGACATAAAAAAATAAGGTTTAAAGTTGTTAATAATATGCTAATTATAGTAAAATATTTAATATGATATTTATATTTTAAAATTTTTAATGTTAATTAAATTATTTTTTTAAAGTTGCATTCGTAATCAATAATTATATTTATATAATCAACTCTTACATCATTAATAATGAACTAATAAATTATAATTTCATATCCAAACTCACACACAGTCAAACTTAAACTTACGATTTTAAAAGCCTCCTTCTTGCTACTAAGCTAAGTATGTATTGATATTCAATTGTAAACTTATTAATTAATATGACATTCTACTTTAATGTAATTAATTTTAAATAATAACATAAAATTAACAAATAATTCTTTAAGTATTACATTAATTAATAAATTTATAGTTCAAATATCATATTATAATTTTTTTTAAAATCAAATATCACATTACATATTTCATTATTAACTCCAAATGATATTATGTAATTAACAAATAATCTTTTAAATACCATATTAATTAATATATTTATAGTTTAAATATCATATTATAAATTTTTATTTAAAATTCTAATATCTTATTACACAATTCATTATAATTGAATTCAACCCTAATATAATTAATTTTAAATGATAACATATAATTGATAAATAATCTTCTAAATATTTATAATTTAAATATTATATTATAAATTTTTATTTAAAATTTAAATATCATATTATACATTTCATTATAATTTATATCATTATAATTCATATGCTATTCGTGACATTAAAACAGAAATTCTGAGCAAGATTCAATTTTCCAATTTTTTTGTCTACTCTTTCGTCTTGAGTTCTTTCATTTTCCTCTGATTTTGCCTGTTTCCCGCTTCTTCATGATAAATCCCAACATTTTCTCATCTTAATCATACAGTAAAAGTTTGAAAGATTTGAAAGAGGATTAAAGAAAGAACGGGCTGGAAAGAAAGAAACAAGGCTAAAATCTGTCACTTGGACCAGCTTTTATAGTTGGCTCAAGATACAGTATACTCAATATTAACCACTGGAATCTGGAGACAAATATCACAAATCCTAGCCAACTTCCCTCACCCTCTTATGCAGTGTGGTCAAAGAAGAAAGAAATCTATAGGCAGTCCAGGGAAACGAAACCAAGCTGCTGTGAGAATAACTTTAACTACAGATGATGAAACATCAACCATCAAACAATGATCCATGATTTTCCAAGTCCAAAACATGAAACTAACATATTAACAAAGATTTTATGTCCGCTATAACCAAATGAAACCACTTTTGACAGTCACACCAAGAAACAGAACATAGACAGACCTTAGAAGTATGATTGCTTGATGTTCTAAATCAATAGACATCACTCATGTCCTAGGCAACCATGGATTGAAAATGATGTCCAAATCCTCGTAAACCACACTCGATACAATCAACCATGTACAAGGCAGAAACACTTAATATGAGATTGTTTATCCTTGGCATGTGTGCTTATGCCCTCTCCTTCTCTGAATTCCATCCTTAGCGAGCTTCATACTGAACAACTGCAGTAAACAAAAGGTTTTAACATTAATTATGAGAATAATCAAAGAAATAGCGAGTGGATTTCCCTTTGAGAAGTGCAAGGACTTAAAGGGAAAATGTTTGCAGAAGTTGAACAATTATTGGTCAACTTTTGGCTAGAATAAAAATCATAAATTTAAAACATCACACCAAGGACCTAATGCCACACATTACATAACCAAAGAACATGTCACAAACTTTAACAAAAACGTTAATGCATACCCTACACCCTCAACTATTCAACACAGAAGAAACCCTAAACTTGTATCTGGTCCAATGTCCATCAAAAGTTATATTTTTTGTGCAATCAACCCACATCGGGATAACAAAATCGAGGTTTAGGGGGGCTGCTGTAAGGCTGTCTGGTACTGTAAGTTCAGAATAGAAATAAGGAGAAATATAAAATTTTAATGGACAATTAATGAAGATTGATAAAGGTTGATATTTTCCTGGCTGAATATCTGATAACAGTAGCAGAACATAAAGAATAAAATGAAAGAAGATAAATGATCCAGGCTTCATCCTGGATTATTAAAATCATATCATTTAGAATTTGGGTTGCTTCATAGAATCTCAACATTCAAAAGAAAGCAAAATTGCAGAAATTGTTCATGAACTTGTTCAGGCTGCATATCCAAGATAGACAACTGCCAAACTTAAAAATCAAACAATCTTATACTAAAAGCAAAAGCCTAATAACATTAAAAGATCCAAAATAATGCACATAAACAACTGCGAATCACAGATTCATCAAAATTGGAATTTAGCAGAATACAACTAAAATAAAATAAAACCAATAAAGTCTTTAAGCATGAAACCATATATTTAAGTTATTAAAGAAGGGAAAAGATCCTCTCCACTATATAAAAAATAGTAGAAGTTTCCACTACTTTATTTAGGGGTGATAAATGCACTTTCATCTAAATTTACGGTTGAAATTTAATGATTTTAAATTAAATATTAAAAAATAAAAAAAAATTAAATAAAAAGGTAAAAATGATTTGAACAAATATTAACCTTAGATTTAATTGAAAGTGCCTTTCTCACCTTTAGATAAAGTAGTGTAAACTTCCACTATTTTTTAAAAAGTTTTCCCCTTTAAGAAGCCAATCAAATAAAGACCATGATTCTAATAGTCTTCTACTTGCCATCTTGAATTTTCTCTATTTGTTAGTTGTTTGCAGCAATAGATTTACTCCTTCAAGACAAAATAAAAAATATAAATATGCACGAAATTGTTTATTTTCAGGAGAGGGGGTATTTGATTAATATGAGAAATTTAAAAACCTTTCTTTTCATTTAAATATTATTGTTACATAGCCTAAAAATTTTCAGTTTTCCTCCCTTGGCTACTCTGTCAGGGTTAACATATGTCCCATAAACTGTATACCACATGTTTTATGCATCCTCAAAATTTTCATTGCTGTTCAAACTAGCACTAAATGTTTTAATGGCAACTTAGCCTTAGCTTGAGAGTCTCATATAAGCTTTAATAACAATTTTTTTTTTTTTGAAAAGCCGGAAGAAATGGCTTAAAATTACAAATGCGTTATCTAGTATCAGATAGCAATAATCTCGGGGAAAATAAATCCATAAACCAAAAAAAAAAAATGTTTGCCAACTTCCTAAGTGCAACATAAAAACAAAGTAACAATTCTTGAGTCATTCACATCCAAATCACATTGTTTTTAAACACAAACTACCATCAAGTTGTCGTTTTTTATATAAAAACAATAATAATAAAAGAAACCAATAAAGCATAAAATGCCCAAAGATAAACCTGCAACTCAGATAGACAATGAGCATAAAGGAGAAAACAACCGCCAATACCAAAACCTTTGTTAACCATTAAGGTGTAAATGATACACCAATACTCGCAAGTTAATTAGGCTCAGTTCGAATAAAACTTGAATTTGGCTTCGTCATTGTCGAGTCGAGCTCGAGCAACTCGACTTATCGAGTGAGCCGAGTTCAAACATCCTAATGTTCGGCTCGAGTAGCCCGCGACCCTAATCAAATTTTTAAATTTTAATATATTTTTATTATTTTAATTAAAAATTACTATTTTATCCTCTTATATATATATTTATATAAAACTTCAAACTCGAACTTGAGTTCAAACATATAATCGAGCCTGAAATTGAGCTCATTTTTTTTTAAACGAGCCTAATCAGAAAAGCTTGAATAACTCGAATTTTATCTTGAGTTGAGCTTGAGCTTGAAAATTAAAATTCAATCGAGCTCGAGCTGAAAGTTTCGAGTCAAGCTCGAGTTGAGAGTTTCGATTCAAGCTCGAGCTCGAGCTTCTTATTGTATCGACTCGGCTCGACTCGATTACACCCCTATTAACCGTCAAACAGTAAAACAAGTTATTCCACACAGTCAGAGACAGAAGAACTCTAATTGAAGCAGCATTTGCTGAACAACACATAGCACAAAGAAGAAAACCTAATTTAAATACCATGACCATTGATAGTTAAACCAAATTACATAACTAACCGTGCTGATTTTTTGAGTTTTTTTCTAAGAATCTTGTTTATATTTACAAACAAGCAAGTTACATTCAAGATTTCAGCTCTGTCAAATATTGGAACACTAATCTCATCTCACATTCTCTGTTATTATTGTCCCTAAGTTAAATTAGGTAGTGTGTTCGCTTCCCTACCGTTCTATTCTATTTCCTGATCATGAAAATTTGCTTGTTTTAAATTTAAACATTTCCTAAAAACAGTCTTAACCGCGGCACAAATAAAACTAGAGGTGTAATTGAGCTGAACCAAGTCAATACAATGAGAAGTTCGACTTGAAATTTACTGCTTGAAACTTGACTCGAACTCAATCGAGTTTTAAATTTCAAACTAAAGTTTGGCTCAAGATAAAAATTAAACTAGTTGAGCTCACTCAATTATGCTCATTTATCAAATAAAAAAAATTGTTCGATTCTCATGCTCGACTTCAAGATCGATTATTTGTGTTCAAACTCAAATTCATGTATGTAAGGGTAAAATCATAATTTATAATTAAAATAATAAAAGTATATATTAAAATAGAGAAGCTAGATTAAGCTCGTGCGGGTATTAAGAAACTCGAACTCAGCTTAATCAATAAGTTGGGCTGCTCGAACTCAACTTATATTTGAGTTTTACTTGAATCAAGCCAGAATAGCTTGCCAATACTAATATATCATTTACACCACTAAATAAAACCATTAAATATAAGAAATCATTATAAATATTAAAAATTTTAAGAAAAAGAAAAAAGGAATGAGAAAGCAGCGTTACTTCTTCGGGTTCGTTTCTTGTAAAGAATGCGGTAACCACACTCCCGGCATTGTATCACATCTCCATGCTTCAATGTGTTCTCCTGCCCACAATCTGTATAAACCCCAAAAAAGTCGAAGTCAAAGATATGGCAAATTTTGGGGTTTATTTAGGGATAGAAAGGTTATACTACCTCCACAGATATAGGTAACAGGTTCAGGCTGCGGATCCATTGATGCTCAATCGAACAATTTTTTAGACTAACCTGCTCAAACTCAACAGATTCTTACTTTAATCAAATTAACTGAAAACTTAACCAAATTGTATAAAGAAATAACCAAAAAACTGAAGTAAGCAAAAAGAAAAAAAAGGTTAATTTTAGGGTTTGGAAGAGAAGGGGAGAGACGGAGGCTGACCAAAAGGTGGCGGGCGCTGAAGTTGGAAGAGAAGTGGAGGCAAGGCAACTCGTCTGGGCCGAGGTTGTGGAGTTAGAACTTACAAGAAATGAAATTTTAGGGTTTTCAAAAGTGCTTATGTTGAATTAAACGATGCCGTTTTGGGTGAAAAGAGCAAAAAAGGAAAAATAAAAAATAAAAGAAGAGAAATGAGTGGGCTACTGGTGCTGCGAGCCAATGAGATCCGACCCAAATTTTTTATTTTTCCTTGTTCAAGCCCATAGCCCAAGAAATGAAGAGATAATTAAAAGAATTAAAATACAGTAATGATAAAAATTAGGAAAATGTTAAAAAAACTTAAAATCATAAAATATAAATATTGAAAAGAAAATTTAATAAAATATGCATCATTGGTAAATGGAAATCAATTTTAAAATATCAAATTAATTAATGATGAACATTTAAAAAAATATTTTTTAAAATACCTTTGAGATGTGGATTACAGTCATTTTAAATAATAAAAGTAAATAATTTAAGTTTTTTTTTTATATTTTAGACAAATTTAAATCAATAACAAATATATTGAAAGCATATTGCTCATAATTATTATAATATAATTAATTATAATCATGAATTATGTAAAATGCATTAAAATATTAGGTAAAATGTATACTTATAAATTATATTTTTTTTTTATAATTTTGAGTTATAATTAAATAATTATAATAAAAATTGCAAGTAAAATTCTCTAAATAATTTTGATTCAAATCCTTTATTTCAATTTAAAAATAATAAAAAAAAAAAATCAGCTCTATCTTTCATTTGCATCTTAAAAATTTTTCTTTACATCCCGTTACTAATTACACCTTAAATTCAAAAATTAAAAACTAATTTTTCCTTATTACGCTCACAACCCATAAATCTCATTTCCCCTAAACAGCCTCACATCTCTATCATACCATTTTCTTCCCTCTTGCACAATTTCCCTCTAAAAAATCGATTCACTTTAATCTTTGAAATCATAAATCCTAAAAATCAATATAAAATTATTAAGTTTATGAATTAATTAAGTCACTAAATTTTAATTTTTTAATTTTGTTTTATTTTGATTAAATTATCTTTGATTTCGTTAAATTTTGTGTGTGAAATCATAGGTTTTGAATTTACAATTTTTTTAAGTTTTTAAAAATTTTTGGATTTATATTTTTAAAAATTTGTAAATGTATCAAAAAATGCAAATTAAAATTTTTTTAAAAGTTACTAAATATATAAATCCAAAAACTTTTAAAAAATACTAATAAAACTTATGAAAATACAAATTTGAAACTATTTAAAAACTTTCAAAAATATAAAATTGAAAACTTTTAAAAAATATAAATCCGAATATATTTAAAAATTTTTTAAAGTATAAATCTCAAAGTTTTTAAAAATGTTCGAAAATGTAAATCTTAAAAACTTTTAAATACTTTTAAAATATAAATTCAAAATAAAAAAATGAATATGCAAAGGATTAAAAAATAATTTACTAAAATTTAATAAAATAATTTTATTTTGAGTTATTTTATAATAAAAAAATTAAAATAGAAAGAGTAGTAGTAAAGTAGCACATGACAAAAAAAAGCAATGCGCAACATCATGATGTGAGGGTGAGAGCGACACACGGGATCTGGCTATACCTTTAGGAAACTACCTACGCACATTCAACTTTTGTCCGTATCCCCATAAATACAAACTTCTTTATTCGCTACAAGAGCCTTATGCATTCCCGCAAATCTTCTACACTAATTTACATATCGGACATTAATTAATTACTGATAATTACACTTTGAGGATTTTCCGAATTATAATAAAATTACGATAAAATTATCCTACAAATAAGTCTTAGAGTTTTTAAATTTTTTAATGAATGGATTAAAAGAATGAAATTTATTTCATTAAAATAAAGTTTTAAAAATTAATTAAGTATTACATAAGAATACAATAATTTTTCAATTTTATTTTCAAAATTCAAAATTTATCTCTAGTGTGAAAATTATAATATATATAAGTTATTACTTATAAATTAAAAAAAATAAAAGAATGGTTTTAAAAAGTTTTGTATTTATTATGTTGGTTTTTTTTTTTGACTAATTAAATTTAGTATGAATAATTAATATATTTGATTTAATTAATTAAATAATACTAATTATAATATTGAAATAATTAATTTAATAATATTAATATTTCTCATTTGGCATTGCAAAACATTTATCTAATGACGTGGAATCTGCCACGTCACAAAAAGAGATGGTGTCATGTAGCGTTTTCCCTTGCTTCTTTTAAAGGTTCAACATTCAGCGGTCGGTTGACTTAGATTTTAGATGGATTACGTGTTTACTCAAACCTGACCTGGCATTCTGGTCCAATATGATCAAACCACGTAGCTAAACTTACTAAAATGCGGGTCCCATGAAATGTGGTCTAATCGAACAAGCCACACCATTTATCAAAATAGAAATGCACGCATCTTATCATTCACACTCCAACCAAGATCCTGACCGTTTAGCGATGAATTTCTCTCATTTCATCATCATAAGTGTCACAATTCACATTCTCTCTCTCTCATGCCTGCTTTCTCTCAGAATAGTTTCTTTGCTTCACTGAAATATTCTTTTTCTCTCGATTGAAACCCTAGGGTTTTGATCGTTACCTTTTATTTGTTTTTCTCTACTAGAATTGTATCGATTTTACTCTTTGATCAGATCTTGAAAATCCAAGTTAAACTCCTTCACTCAAACAAAATTGATTTGATTTGCTTCTTTTTTGTTTAATTTCATTTAAGAAAGAAAGGAAAAAATGCCGGCAGTTTACGGGTCCAGATTGACGACATTTGAGGATTCAGAGAAAGAAAGCGAATACGGCTATGTCCGTAAGGTGAATTCCCCTCATTATATCATTGCTTATCTTTCCTGCCGCAATTTGATTTGCTATTAACGGTCGATTGAGTTTAACTATATATGTTACGAGTATTTTTATTGTATGATCTGCGTTTTTATACTTCAGTTTAGTGTAATTGCTTTGTTTTTAGACGTTTTTTTATATGTTTTGTCATTTCTTGATCTGTTTTTCTTGTGTTGAAGTAGAGGTTGGAGTGAATTGTTTTTTTTTTTTTTAATTTTTTATTTCTGATCTGTTTTTTCTTTTGTCAATGCTAATTATAATGATTTGAAATTTGTGATATAATTTTCAAGGATTTTATTTCGTTTGCTTTTTTAATATATGATCAGTGAATTTTGGATTGATCTGGATGGCAATTTACATGAGTGTTCCGATGCTTGTACTTGAAGTACTTAATTTTCATTTTCGTTTCCTGTTTATTTTTTTGGTTGGAGATTTGGTGATTGAAAATTGGCTGCTAGATTAGTTTTCAATGACTGTTTATTTTTTCAAACTATTGTTGATTCTGTTAAATCAGTGACAGTATATGTTGTGATTTGTTTCAGTTGAATTGCTTTAATTGCTCAATGTGATTTGTTTCACTTCATTTGGATGCTAAGCCTGCCTCAGATTCAACTTTTCTGTCATAATTTTTCTATTAAGAGTTTGATTAAAGAAAATTTTATTATGAATTCCATGACAATTAAAAATGAGAAAGTGACTTTCTTTGTCCTTTCTATTTGTCATGTGGATGTATATGTATTGTGTATTTGGAGAAATTGCTAGATATTGATCTTTGCTTTTTCCCAAAAAAAAAAAAAAAAGAGATTATGATGCTTATGCTTCGATTGGTAAACCGAAAACAACATCTAGAAAATAAAAGATTTTCTTTGGAGAGATTTTTTGGAAAAGAAATAATTTTCCAGTGTTGGATCACTTCAGAGAAAATATTTTTCGGTATTTATTTCAATGGAAAACAAAAATATTTTCTTCACTATTCATCTTCTCCTTCGTTTAATCCTATCTTTTAAATCTTTCTTTTACTCAAATACCCATTTTAAATATATAAAAACCTACAAAAAATAAACACAATAAAATAACCAAATAACAATATTTGAGAAAAAAAAAGAAAGATTTTTTTTTTTCAAAATACCCATAGGCTACAAGATTAGCTTAGAGATTGAAGCTTAAAAAGGGAGATTATGGAGGATAGAGAAAGTTTGTGGAGAAGAATATGGTTTTTATGAGATCTTGTGAGCTTTCTTGTTGCTGCCATAGGAATGTTAGGAGCTTTTTTGTCTTTTTGGTGGCTTATTCTATTTGAAGGAGGAGAAGAAATCAAGAAAAAATGACAGTCCATGAAAGATGAAGAACAGAGCTCAGGTGGGAGAAGAAAAAGGATAATCCACATTAGCCATTTTTGTAGCTCTAGTACGGCTGATACAAAGTCCTTTTATTCTTCTTCAAGTTCTGGTTTCAGATCACAAGCAGGTGGTACTACTGTCAAAGAACAATATAGGACAAAGAGAAGGAAATTGGGGCTTTTTTGCTGGATTTGTGAAGATTGTAAGCTAAAGTGTTGTAACTGTGCTTGACTATTGAGAAAAGGAGAGATGAGTTCAGTTGGAGGAAATTGTCTTCCGGACTAAAAGAACAGAAGACAATTTCTCTCAAATGGGCATTAACGGAAGACGATTTCTCTCAAATGGGCATTATTAGCTTTTGACTAGAAACCAATTTCTGTTGACTTTCTATTTTTTGGGTCAGCCAAACACAAAAAAACGCAGAAAATATTTCTGAAAGTGATTTTCCATTGTACCAAATGGAGCCTTAATTATTATGTTCATATTTCTATTCAATCAACGTCTATTGCATTTTCTGACTGACTACCAACCTACTGAATTACCTTGGCTAATCATTCTTACTTCTTTTTTCATGTTTCTCCACTTCAACTATTACATGGCAGGTGTCAGGTCCAGTCGTTGTTGCAGATGGAATGGCTGGTGCTGCCATGTATGAATTAGTCCGTGTTGGACATGATAATCTGATTGGTGAAATTATTCGGTTGGAAGGAGACTCTGCTACAATCCAAGGTAATGCAAACATTAGTTTTTTCAGTTAAAGCTTCCCTTTTGTTTATGTTCTTTGTTTTCCTTTAGGAAAGAAGGTACGCAAAAAAATTAGTAAGAATTACCTGTGGCTTTAGT